CAGACACACGTGCACACTCCCCCCCCCCCCACATACACATACGCGCACACACACACACACACACACACACACACACACACAACTTTGGATAGCCGCCACGTCGGCCTGTCTGCTTCAAACACGAAACATCCTGTTCAGTTCATTACATTCGAAACCACGGCAGGCCAGCGCACTCGCACATGTTCGCGATGAAGTGCGTTGCCTGCTGTGCGTTTGCTTGGTTGTTCACGCCACCACTGTGAGTGCAGTGCCGCTTCGTTAAAAGTCGAGCGATCCTTTGCGATCGGCCTTCTTCTGGCTCTGTTTCTTCTTTTCCTTCAGTCGCCTCTCGTTAAACTGGCGCTTCCTGCACACAAGCAAGCAAGAAACACCGCGGTCATGTGATGCATGGGTTGGAGGGGGGATAGTATGGAACACCGAACCAAACCACCAGGGCACACACGGGCACACACGCACGCGTGCATGGTGTTGACTGACAGTTTTTTCACTTTGGCCTGCTGTTGGGCTGATGCTTCCTTGTCCTGTTTGGTCGCTTCCACGCACATCTGTCAGTTGCATTTCCAACACGTTATGCGTCCAGATAGCATCACAGTAGCGGCATGCAGAATCTGGCTACACAGGGGAATATGATGCACGTTCGCACACACACACACACACACACACACACACACACACACACACACACACACACACACACACACACACACACCTCGGTCATGCGTTGAACAGCCAGATCGTAGTTCCGGTTTTGTGATCGTGTGTCCTGACACTGCACGACGAGTTCACCTTGCTTATTCATGCGCGTTGATAACTGCAAATCAACAAAGGTGATTGGAGCGGGAACCGTGTCACTGTGCATGTGCATGTACACGCAGTAGGCACTGGTCATGCAGGCATGCACACATTCGCACATCCACAAGCACACACACATCCGAACACGCACGTTCGTCTTGATGGCTGCTTTGGCTTCTTCCGTTAGCCAGTAAGCCTCGTCGACGTTGAAGCGTAGTGTCACCTTTGTGCTCACTAGCCATGTGCAACAGCGCACGCGCAAAGAGAGAGTTAGTGAGTTGATGATGCGCAGCATGCTATGCTGCAACGCGGGCAGTAGTCCAACAGGCCCAGCCACGTACAGCTGTGAATGGGATTGTTCGGTTAAGCTGCACCGCACACATATGCACGCGCACACATGTACGCACGAAAACACACACACGCACAAGTGTACACTGTGTACACGGCCGTTTCATGTGTGGCCATGTTCCTACCTTTGTTTACATGCTGGCCTCCAGCACCGCCACTCCTTGAATAGGTGGCTGTGAGTGCTTCTGCTCACAGGAGAGACAGAGACAGAGACAGAGACAGAGACAGAGACAGAGACAGAGACAGAGACAGAGACAGAGACAGAGAGACAGAGACAGAGACAGAGACAGAGACAGAGAGACAGAGACAGAGACAGAGAATGTTGTTTGCCCCCCCCCCACACGCACACACACAAAGCACCAAACGAGTGTGTGAGACCGCTGTACTTGATGCTGCAAGCAAAAAAAAAAAAAAAAAGACAGCCAAAAGAATTAGGTGCTCGTACATGCGCTGCCATGTGTGTGGTGATGGGACGAAGGATGTGCGAGACGATGCCCTGTCGCAAGTCACATCCCACTGACCTTGTGGAATGGGACCGTAAAACAGGTAGTCGCCGCCGCTCCGCTGCTTGCTGCCCTTGTCTGCACTCATCCAGCGCAGCTGAAAGGACGACAAGAACGACCACCGGCCTTCTCGCGGCCACACGACAGCCTGCTGCTGCCGCATCCTGCCAACAACACTCGCAGTGCGCAGCACACCACCAAGCGACAACACAAGCGGCAGCTGTGCCATGTGTGTGGATGCTCTCTGTGTAAAGTCCTTCCACCCCAAACAACAAACGCGAGTTGTGACGATTTGCGAATGTTATCTGTCACATTTCGTACCACCCCGCGATTGCAGACCACGTTGTCTCGTGTGTGTTTGCATGCATGCGTGCTGTTCTCGTGTGCATTTGTTGTGCTTGTGAGTTACATTCCAACTCCGTGCTGCGATAACAACACCACCAAACAGCCATGTCGGCCAAGCCTGGAGGTGCCAAGTTCTTTCACCATGTGCTCAAGTCTCCAAAGCACATTGTCGCACCAATGGTGGACCAGGTGAGTGTTTGTCTGTGTGCATGTGTCTGTGTGCGTGTTTGCGTGTGTCTGCGTGTCTGTGTGCGTGTGTCTGTGTACGTGTTTGCGTGTGTCTGCGTGCATGTGTCTGTGTGTGTGTGTGTCTGTGTGTGTCTGCGTCTGTGTGAATGTGTGGCTGTGTGCGTGTGTCTGTGTGTTTGTGTGTCTGTATGTACACACACGTGTCTGTATGTGTGTATGTGTGTATGTGTGTATGTACACCGCGGTCAACAGTTGCTTGTGCCTGCGCCCGGGGCATGTGTGTCCAGCTCACCACTTGTATGCGTCCCTATCCAACAATCCCCACAACATGATGGGCAGAGCGAGCTGAGCTGGCGCCTGCTGGCTCGCGCGTATGGCGCACACCTGTGCTATACACCCATGCTGCACTCTGGTGTGTTTGTGAGGGACGCCAACTACCGCAAACTGAACTTCACCACGTGCGCCGAGGATCGCCCCCTCATCGTCCAGGTACGTACAAGCTGCAATCCGTCTGCGTTCGCTGCACTTGGGCCCTGTTACCTTGCAGGGGTCGCGTTTGTTGCGCTTGCACATGCGATGCCTCGATATCCAGCGCTGCATCTCATTTGACCCGCCATTCGTGCTCACGATGCACTGCTGCTGGCGCTGTCTCTCAATCAAGTTTTGTGGCAACGATCCCGACACGGTTCTGGAGGCAGCTAAGTATGTGGAGGACAAGTGCGATGCTGTGGACTTGAACCTCGGATGCCCCCAGAACATTGCTCGTCGCGGTCGATACGGTGCCTTCTTGCAGGTACACGGTAATTATTGTCGATGTCGTTGCTATTTGCCGTTGTTGTCGTCGTAGCTGGTGCTCTTGTCCACCGTTGGAATGCCTCAGCCATGCACATCTGCTGTCCTGAATGCAACGGAGGCAAACGCCCAATTCACACATGGACACATACACGCGTGTGCGTGTCATTGCAGGATGAATGGGATACCATCTCTGCCATTGTGAAGCGTTTGCACGCGGAACTGAGCGTCCCCGTGACGTGCAAGATTCGCATCTTTGATGATCTGGATAAGACGCTCGCGTATGCGCGCATGCTGGAAGAAAGTGGCTGCCAGGTTAGAATGACCTGCTTTGGCGCTGTGTGTGTATGTGCGTGTGCGTGTATGCGTGTATGCGTGCGTGTGTGCGTGTATGTGTGTGTGTGTGTGTGGATGTCGCTGTTATGCATGCCGTTCACACGTGCACCTTGACTCCACCATGCCTCTGCTTGATGCCATGTCTTCTTTGTTTTCATCACGACACACACACACACGCGCACGCACACAACCACACACGCTACAGCTGCTTACGGTGCACGGGCGAACGCGAGTGCAGAAGGGCCCTCGTTCCGGCCTTGCAAACTGGGATTACATCAAAGCCATCAAGTAAGTCGTGGATCGTGGATCGTGAATCCAATGTCCGAGAGCCTGCTTGCCTTGCGCGTGGTTGCAGTTGTCTGTAGTCCTGAGGTGCCACAAGCATGCGCTGTGCTTGTTCAACTTGCTCAACAGTATTTCACCACCTGTCGTCCTCACGTAACACAACACATCCACCCATCTCGTCGCGTTCCATTTGCTCCTGGTGTGCAGGAACGCGGTGAGCATCCCTGTTGTCGCCAACGGCAACATCCTGTACACGTCCGACATTGACAAGTGCATCGAGTACACGGGGGTGGACGGCGTCATGTCTTCAGGTCTGGAACACATGGTGCAGGGGGGACAAAGCGTTGGTTGGTTGATTGGTTGGTTGGTTAGTTGGTTGGGAGGCAGGGGACAGAGCCATTGTAGACGCTATGTGCGGTGGTGTGTGTGTGTGTGTGTGTGTGTGTGTGTGTGTGTGTGTGTGTGTGTGTGTGTGTGTGTGTGTGGTCACGCTTTATCCGGATTGCTGGTGTAGGCACACTGCCTTGGACACAGTGACGGGTTTCGATACACGTGTACACGTGACCAACAAAAAACAAGCACATGTGTTCACTTTTCGCGTCTGGCGAGTTTTCACCTATCTCACTGGCCGCCTGCTGCTGCGTGCACACTCTGCTTCAGAAACGCACTTGGTGAACCCTGCGGTGTTCTCTGGACAGTACCCGCTGCTGTGGGAGATGGTTGATGAGTACATGGGGCTGGCTCTCAAGCACGGCGAATCTGTCGCCTGCTGCAAGGCCCACCTCTTCAAGCTCTACCACAAATGGTGCGACGCCAACTTGCATCGCATTATTGCTGGGGAATGTCACGCGCCCGCACACAGGGCTGGACGGCACCCGTGTACTTGTTTACCGTCACACGCACACAACAGCACAAAGACAACCCACCACTGTCCATTTCTCGTCGCCCCATTGCCGCCAGCTCTGTTCACTCTCGCTGCCGCCCACTTACCCCGCACCCAACAAACAACCAACCAACCCAACCGACACAACACAACACAAACAACCACACATTCACAACGCCCACCGACGCAACCACACACTTACATACACACAACTTCATTGCCCAAACGTGCTGTCCGCCGTTGGTGCAGCGTGAACGACTACCCGGACCTGCGGACCGACCTTGCCAAGGCGCGATCGCACGATGATCTGCTTGCCGTCGCCGCCGCCCTCAACGAAAACCTCAGGCGCCGTCGCGATGAGGAGATGAAGCAGGGTTGGTGGCAGGCTGCTGTTGCTGCTGTGCTTTGTTGTTGCTGCCATGTTCTCGAACACACCGTCACTTCTTATCGTCTCGACTCACCCCTCTGCCCACCTTCCCCTATCACCGGATCACCATCCTCGCCACGACCACCATCACCGTTGTCCACCAGGCCTGTGGACAGAGGAGCACGACACGGAGACGGCGGCCCTCCACGCGCTGCCGTCCTGCTCGCCAGACTTTGAGCACCCCCGCATCCCCGTCTGGCGCTGCCAGCCCCGCCCCCGCAACCACAACTCGGACAAGTCGGTTAATGCCATTTTTCGTGTACACCTGCTCCTGCTGTGCATGTGTGTGTGTGTGCGTGTGTGTGTGTGTGTGCGTGCGTCGCTCTGCAAACGCTGCCTTGTTCTTCGTTGTCACTGTTTGCGGGTCACCACAGCTCATCCTCACGACCACCCTCCACTCCACCCTCCACTCCACCCCCGTCAGGGCGCTGCTTGAGCGCGAGCCGGGGCCACGTGCGAAGCAGCAGAAGCCGCAAAAGTCTAAGGCAGCGGGCGGCGAGAAGTCGGGACCACGGGCCGCCTCCGACGCTGCCAATGGTGATGATGATCATGATGATGATGATGAATCCAATGCTGCAAAGCGACCGCGTGCAATGGATGAGCAGCGCGCTGCACAGCGCAAACGCCAGCAGCAGCTCAACGCCATGCGAAGTACGTTTGCATTTGCGCCATATATGCCACGTGCACGTGTGTGTGTGTGTGTTGTGTTGGGTTGTGTTGTGTTATGTACTTGTGTTGTGTACTTGTGTTGTGTTGTGTTGTGTTGTGTGTGTGTGTGTTTGCTTGTGGCGTATTGTGTTTGCCGGGCCATAGGTTCTGACGTCCAAATCCCACTGCTTCACGTTGCAGAGAACCGGTACAAGCGGTGTGGCCTGTGCAACGGCAACCCGTGCGGCAAGAAGTGAGTTGGTCATGTGTAGCTCCTGCTGCCATCTCTACGCAAACACATTACAATAACAATGCAGCGAGCCACACGCTTGGCATCCACTCGACGACAACTTTCACCTCGCAGCTCCAATCACCGGCGTAGCTACACACGCACCTCTGCACACGCGCACACACACACACACACACACACACACACACACACACACACACACACACACACACACACACATACACACACACACCTTGTAGACGGTTTCCTGCTTGCCGGTGATGAGCCACTGCTTGAGGAGGTACTCGTAGTAGCTGTCGCCGCGCGCCCCGAGCGTGATGGTGTTGCCGCTGAACCTGTCCCGCCATCAATCAATGCGGCACCAAGAGGATCGGGGCGTGGGCAAAGATGGAAGGGGTATAGGCGCGGCGGGCGAGAGGGGAGTCGGTGTTGAGACACGAGCAGAGCATGTTGGGGAGGGGGGTTACGTGTGAAATGCATGTAATGTGGGGCGCATCAAAACAGGGGGTGCGACATTGCCATGTGCATGTGTACTCCGGACCTGCCCGTGTTGGCGTTGACGAAGATGGGGACTAGGCCGTCCTTCTTCGGGAGCGATCGCAGGTGCTCCATCACCTGGTGTTGTGTCAGACCACGAACAGTGAAGATGTGTTGCATGCAGCAGCAGGGAGAGGCGAGGCGAGGTGAGGTGCCTCACACTCGTACCTCCAACAAAGCATACAAGCAAGCAAGTTACACGAGCAAGTTGCCAACCAACAAAGCACACACGCACACACGCACACACGCACACACGCACGCACACACACACACACACACACACACACACACACACACACACACACACACACACACACACGCATACACGCGCGCACGCAGACAGCAGCAGCGGGGCGCGGACCTGCGTGACGCGGTCGTGGAATTTGCGGTTTCCGGACACATGTGCGAGATACTTGAACTCAATCTGGATGGTGGACACCTCCGCAGTGGAACTGAAGTGACGACACGAGGAGGAGGAGGAGGAGGAGGAGGAGGAGGAGGAGGAGGAGGAGGAAGAGGAGGAGGAAGTGGAAATGCATGGTGGTGCATGAGTGAGTGTGGTGGAATGGGAAAGAGCCAAGGCAATGCGGCGAACAATCACACGCCCTTCTGCCAACACCACACACACACACACACACACACGCACGCACGCACACACACACACACACACACACACACACACACACACACACACACACACACACACGCACGCACACACACACACACGCGCGCAAGTTGTGCGCACGCAGATGACCCCAACATCCACACGATCACACACAAAACGCCAAACAGAGAGATAGAGAAGAAGGGACAAGTGGTGCACCTGTCTGGGCCCCAGCGCGGCTTGTGGGCGATGCCGGACTGGAGGTTGACGTCGGAGAAGGGAACACCCGAGTTCTCGTTGAACGCGTGCGACAACCGCTGCCCAAGATCAATCTGCAAACGTACACGTGTGTGTGTGTGTGCGTGTGTGTGTGTGTGAGTGTGTGAGTGTGTGTGTGTGCGTATGTGTGTGTGTGTGTGTGTGTGTGTGATTGTGGCGTGTGTTGGTGTGTGTGTGATTGTGGCGTGTGTTGGTGTGTGTGCACAGGAAACATCATCAGGGCCGACACAGACGCGCGCATGCGAGTGTCAATGCACCGCAAAGCAAGACAACGCACGGCCTTGTTCTTGTAGAGGGGGTCGCCTGTGAGGGCGTAGCAGCTGAGCAGCCCGCCGAGCACGCGAATGGTGCACTCAAACAGATTCACGTCGACGTTCTTGTCCAACTGCAGATCATGCGCCACCCAATCCCGCGCCTCCTGTGGGTGTGCGCACACACGTGCCGAAGAGGAGAGGGTGGGGAAACAAAAGGCGGATGAGTCTAATTTCCACGCGTGCACGCGTCCACGTCGACTACAGCTTAGCTATACACATGCAGTCACTCGCACACGGTCGTTCTCATGGCACCACAAGCAGCCACACTCCACAAGACAACACAAGACACCACAAGACACCACAAGATAACACACAAGATAACACAACAGGGGACCTTGTACTCGTCGGTGAGCGCCATGAGGTACATGGTGTCGAGCGCATCGACGAGGGTAAGGCCGAGCCCAAACCACTCGTTGTGGCCCTTGGTGACCGGCAGCAGCTCATCGTGGCCCCATGCGTACGCCTTGTACCCTGCGCACCCGTGCAGCGGCGGTGGCGGCGTGGGATGGAGGCGGGTGATTGTAGGCATTGCGAGGGGGGATTGCAATGATCGTGGCGATGGGGGCGTTGTTGGTGCCGTTGGTGAGAAGCCATGACCGTGAGTGGGGTTATCGTTGTATGCAGCATGCGGTGGAATGCACAGCCACAGAACAAACAACACGCCTGCCACAGAACAAACAACACGCCTGCCACAGAACAAACAACACGCCGGCCACAGAGCAACCACCACTTCTGCCACAGAGTAAACAACACGCCTGCACACACACACACACACACACACACACACACACGCACACACACACACACACACGCACACACACACACCTTTCCACGCCCACCGGAAGGCGTCCACGACAGCGCGCTGCTTGTCTGTGTGCTGTGCAGGTGTGGGGATGTTGAGGCCATTTGGTCCCAGCGACGCAGCACCTGCATGGTTCGTGACAGCACCGCCATTACCCGCCTGCTGCTGCTGCTGCTGCTGTGCATGTTGCTGCTGCTGCTGCTGTTGTTGTTGTTGTTGTTGTTGCTGTTGTTGCTGTTGTGGTGGCTGAAGGGCAGCGGCTTGCTGCTGCTGTTGGTGTGCGCCGTCGTGTCTTACAGGGACGCTGCCATCGGCGACAGCTCGCTGCAGCTCACGCAGCCGCTGTAGTTAGGCAAGGGGGGATCACGCATGCATCATCAGACCAGGCCCACGTGAGCGGCTGCTTCCATACCGTGCCGCATCCAAATGGCCACACACACACACACACACACACACACACACACACACACACACACACACACACACACACACACACACACACCTGTGTTTCTTTGTCGATGACGCCTTGCAATGCAACATTCTCCTGGAAGGTGTGTGTGCGTGTGTGTGCGTGTGTGTATGTGTGTGTGTGTGTGCGTGTGCACGTGTGAGGTGATGCCGTAGATTGGAGGTGGTTGGAAGCTTTGGGTTTAAGGGGCGCAACAGCACAACTATGGAGTAGAATAGAGCAGGGAGGGGTGCTGGTCGTACCGATTCAAGCCGGCGCAGGGAGTTGCGCAGCTGCTGTTGCAAGGACTCGGTGCTGCTCCCACTCAGATCCTACGTGAGAGAGAGAGAGAGAGAGTGTGTGTGTGTGTGTGTGTGCGTGTGTGTGTGTGTGTGTGTGTGAGTGTGTGAGAGAGAGTGTGTGTGTGTGTGTGTGTGCGCGCACGTGTGTTCTTTGGATTGATGCAGGGCTGTTGTGATTCAGTACACATGCTGGCGTGTTCAGCGAGACTGCTACAGCATGACTGCTACGCTGTCTCGTTTCAAGAGGCATTGAGCAACCACACCAAGAACGCACACGCACACGCAGACAAACATGTGCGCAAACTCTCCCTCCCTGCCTCTCTCCGCTCACGTACGCGAGCGCGTTGGTGGTGAACATCGGGGTGGTTTGTGTTTGTTGCTGTGCCAGGAAAAGCGAACAGAGCAAGGGCGATCAAGCAAATGACCACAATTGCCAGCTTGCGCCCTCGCGCCATCCACGCTCTCTGCATCACATGAAGGGAAAAGCGAGAGCGCAATTGCACACATCAAGAGGATGATGAGTCGACTCACATCGCATCAGGACCAGAAAAGGCGCACACAAGCATACACAAACACACACACACAGGCACACAAACATCGCGCGCTCACAAAACCATCGCGCCACACACAAACACGCACACACACACAGGCACACACACACACACACACACAAACATCGCACACACACACACACACCTGGTTGCCAAATTCACCACCGCCACCACCACCGAGCTGCACCGAGACGTGATCTCGTGGCCGTGTTTGCATGGACGTCAGAGGTTGCTCCCAAGCAAGAAGGCACGACGAGCACAAGCCGTAGGGGTGTGTGTTGGCTGACGAGCGAGAGATTGGCTGCGTCCTTCCCCTTCGTCTCCGTTGTTTTGGGCCGTCAGCAGAAATTGGTTGGGCGTCAGCAGAAAGGGCCAAATCCACGTCATGAGGATAATTCGTTTAAGACTTCAGCAAACATTCCGCAATCCAAGGCATTTCTCCACTGCTGCTCACTCGCCAAACTCCCTCCCTCCACCAAGCAAGCAAGGCCTTTGCACCAACACCGCTCCCAAACAACAACCGATCATCATGGATGAGGTCGAGAGGTTTGTGCAGCCGCTCATCTCCTTTGCCAAGAGCAGCATCACCTTCTTCAACAACTGCCAGCGCCCCAACTCTGCAGGTGTGTTTGTGTGTGTGTGTGTGTGTGTGAGGATGCTTGGGGTTAAATGCGTTGTTGCGTGATGTGATGTGTTTGGTGTGTGCGAGCTTTTTTTTGGCGGTGTCTGCATCAGTTCGTTGATGCATGGATGCCAGTGTGCATTGCCAGCGCACACACAGTGCATGAAGACGCTTGCACACCAGTTCGGCTGACTCACGTTTTCCCGGCACACAACACAACACATTATGCAGAGTACCAGCTCACAGCTCTCATGGCTGTGTTTGGCCTTCTTGTCCTCGGCTTCCTCGGCTTCTTCGTCAAGCTGATCCACATTCCCATCAACAACATCATTGTGTACGTGTTGCATCGAAGTGTATGCGTTTGTGTAGTTCTGTATGTCGTGTGTTGTGTGTTGTGGGCATGAGTGAAGACGAGTGTTTTTGTTGTGGGCATGTGCGTGAAGACGAGAGAGAGAGAGAGTGTGTGTGTGTGTGTGTTGTGTATGGGTAGACAATTGACGATAGTCGCGCAAATGTGTGCGTGCTTGTGCTTGCGCATTTCTGTGTTGACACAGCCCGCCACATCAACCGTCTCCAAATGTTCTCAAAGTGTTGTCAAGTGTCCCTGTGTGGTTTTGTGTGTTAATTCGCCGCTTTGCTGTCGACTCTGCTCATACTTTCCTGTTTTGTTTTTGCGCTGCCATCCCCACAAACAGATCCTGATGTCACGTGCAGCGCAAGGCCGTGTGCATGCCGCGCGATCTTTGCCGTTTCTAGATCCCCCATGTCAAGTGCAACACGTTCTTCATATGACTTTCTTTGTTCAACATGCTGTTGCTTGACGCAGCTCGTGGTGGTTCGACTGCCTCTGTATTCGTGATGGTTTGATGTGTTGTCGCCGCCGGTGTACCCCGAGCCATCCACCCGTGTTGCCGCTGCTTTGCTTCGTCTCGTTTGTGTGTGGCCGTACCACACCCCTGTGCGTGCACCGTGCTTGTCTTCTTGCACGCATGTCAGTTGTCTTTGTTGGTTTTGTGTTTGGTCAAGTTTGTGCGTCAGGATGTGCGTGTTCGTATGTGTTCGTATGTGTTCGTATGTGTGCGTATGCGTACGTTCCCCCTTACAGGTGATGTGGGGTGTCTGTTGAATTGACAATACACCCATGACGTGAATGAACTCTGCGTGTGCATGTGTTTTTGGCTTGGACTCGCTTCGAGGTGGACGAGCATGCGTGCGTTCGCTCTTGCATGAGACAGAGGAAGGCAATATCGAGTCGCTTGTCGGCGTGTGTACATTGTTGAAGGGAAGGGGAAGAACCAAAACAAGGAGGAATCGACGGAACCAAGAACATGTGATGAGGATCAGCTACGCGAAAAGTCAGGAGCATCATCAGGGACGCTGCAGCACAACACCGTGGTGCTTCCTTACTTCTTCTTCTTCTTCTGGGCACGTTTACCCTCGCCTAACATGAACACAGTGACAAACACGCGTGTGTGTGTTTGGGGGGGGGGTGGACGGGAATGAGGGGTCGGTGGGAAATGACAGGGAATGATTGCTCTTGCTCGTCGAAGGAAAACACACACACACACACACACACACACACACACACACACACACACACACACACATACACACACACACACACGTGTGCAAGGTCAAAGCTTACCCTTGCGTGTTGGCACGCGGCCGCGCTTCTCGTTCATCACCTTCTTCTCGCCCTCGTAGATCTGCCATCGCCACAATGGGAGCAAACGAGCGTTATAAACACACCGATGTAACAGAGAGAAGAGAGGCAAAGAGAGGAAGAGGGATGAAGGTGGGACAGAGGGGCTAAGGTAGAGACAGAGAGACGCGCGCACACACACACACACACACACACACACACACACAAACACACACACACACACAGACGCACGCACACACACACGCACACACCATTTTCTCGTCTAGGTAGATGCCGGCTGCAATCATTCGCGTGAGGAGTTTGTTCTGGTGCATGACTGTCTCCGGGTAGTAGCGCATCATGGCCTCTGCCTTTGTCGCTTTCTTCAGATGCCGAGTCGGTGACCTACGCACGCAAAGCAGCGGGAGGCGTGACACATCATACGCATGGGAAGCTGAGCATGGGCGGCAGCAAGTTGCACGCACCGAACCAACATGGCTGTGTGGATGCACACAGAGAAGCGCACTCAACAAAGGACACTCAACAAAAGCGCACTCAACAAAGCACACACACACACGCACGCACACACACACACACACACAAACACTAACACTAACACGCACACACGCGCGCGCGCGCATGTTGTCGCGTGATCTCACCGAACATTTGGTGGCAGCACCACCTGTCCAAAGATGGACCTGCTCAGCATGCCCAGCCGTCGCAAGCGCTCCGCCATTTTTGTCGTCGTGCTGCTGAAAGGAAATAAATGTGTCACTACATTTTATGGTGTCGCGATAGAGTAAAGCGTGCTGCAGGCATGGCACATACCCCTGGCTCCAGTGTCACAACACATCATGTCACTCATGTCACACTGCTGCGTCATGTCATGTCACACACATCATAGTGTCATGTCACAGCTGTATCAATGCGCGTACAAGCGACCTGACTGCCGCACCAAATCAACCAGCAACAAGCAGGGGATGCGATCATCACCACAACACAAGCAGAAATTAAGAAATGGACAAGCAAAGCAAAGTAAAGTAAAGCAAGTAAAGCAAAGGGAGTGGGGGCGCCATCCATCGGGCTGTCATCACATCCACATCACGCAAGCAAGAACAAAATATGTAGAACTTGGGGTCGCGAGCACGACACGTGGTTGCCAATACACACGCACTATCTCATGCACGCGTCATGCAATCACACCAGCACACCATTTCACGCGCTGCTCAGAAAAGAAATCAGTCATTAAAACAAACAAAACAAGAATGGAGAGAAGGAGAGAGGGTTGTGGCTCGAGCGCGACATCTCAGTGAGAACTCCATCAGTGATTACACCCACATCACAACGAGACTATGAACAACTGGACAGGTGAACAAAGCGTGTATGCTGACATGGGGGTGTGGGATATGACTTGAATCGCAGCAGACAGTTGCGTATCACCACACAGATGCAACCAAACACGGACGCACGGGCCTTGTCGAATGCTCGCAGGGTGTAGAGCATCACAGCTAGGCGTTTTGAAAGCCGTTGCTCATGGAGCCAACCAAGCGAAGAGTACGGGACGTGCGCTGCGAGAGCGATGTACCAAGTGCATTGTCCCTTGTCTTCCCACCCTTGTTTGCACTTGTTGGAAGCGCGGTTGCCGTCTGATGCAGCCGTTGCTTGAGGGCGTTCAAGGCGAGCGCGCATCGAACATCCTCGCTCACAGACTGCTCATCGTCGTCCGTGGGCACAAGTGGGTCGTCGTTCGAGTCCTGGCGGCCCAAAAGCAAGAAAGTCTTCATGGTGCCCTTGCCCTTGATAGTGATGTGACCACGAGACGCAATCACAAAGTCATGGCCCGGGGGCAGCGCCCGCAGAAACCGATACGTAACCTGTGATGATTGGAAGCGGAGGGGATGGCAAACAACAAAAAGGAGGGAGGCGGGGCAAACGGCCGGGGTGATGAAGAGGGTGTGAGGTATAAGTTGACCTTACAGAGGCGGTAAGGGTAAGGTACACAGATACAAATTCACAGGCACAGAGAGAGAGAGAGAGAGATAAACATGCCCTGACTCCCTGACGCAGACAGCGAAGACACTTCACACACACACACACACACACACACACACACACACACACACACACACACACACACACACACACACACACACACACACCTGGATGCATCCCGGCAGGCCGTTGCTCTCCATGCGCGAGGCGACGTTGACGGTGTCGCCAAACAGACAGTAGCGTGGACGCGCACGCCCGACAACGCCGGCCATCAACGGGCCAGAGTGCAGCCCAACGCGGATGCGGAGTGGCTCACCATCGAGCGGCGAGAGCACCGTCTGCGCCGTGCGCACCATGTCAATGGCCAAGCGGGCGATGCGCAGAGCGTGGTCCTCACATTCCTCCGGGCAGCCCGCCGTCACCATGTACGCGTCGCCAATCGTCTCCACCTTGTAGCAGCCGTGCTGGTCCGCCAAGTCATCAAACTTGACAAACAGCTCGTGCAGCATGTCCATCACCTCGAGCGAGGGCACTTCTGAGGAGATGTTCGTAAAGCCCGCAATGTCGCTGAACAGAACAGTCACCTGGCGCAATGGTTGCATTCCACGTGTGCGTGTGCGTGCATGTGTGTGTATACATGTGTATGTGAATGTAAGCTTGAGAGGGTGGTTGATTGGGTGAAGGGACACAGATTTGGGGCAATAGCAGAGCAACAGCAGAGCATCTGATGTTCGCACACACAAATGCACAACGCACACACATGTGCACAACGCACACACATGTGCACAACGCACGTGCTCGTATTGCTCGGCGGCCGGGATCTCGCCACGTGCCAGAGAATCTGCGACCACCTGGGGATTGGTGAAGAGGAAGAGAAGGAAGGGAATTTGAGACCATGCATGGTGGCAAGAACAATGCACTTACGCACAAGCAAACACTCGTTAACACACGAACATGAACACAGGCAAACACACACCTGCACACACACCTGCACACCCACACCCACCCACACACACACACACACACACACACACACACACACACACACACACACACACACACACACACACACACACACACACACACACACACACACACACACACCGGCGGAAGAATGCTGTGGAGGAGGCCGTCAATCTGCTCCTTCTTGGAGTGAACTTCGGCCATGGAGCGATCGAGGTCTGCAAGCTTGGCCTCAACCTCGTTCGAGTTGGATGCGGACACGGCCTGGCACATTGCGCTGTACAGCACCTCGCGCCCGTGGCAGTGGATGGGCATGTCGGCCAGGTCAATGCCTTGCGTGTCGAGTTCCTCAGTTGATTGCACGAGCGGATTACCGACGAAGAGCAGCACCTGCTGTTCTTCGTCAAACACCACCTCCCCATGCAACTTGATGTTGTTCGTGCGCAGTGCCCGTGCGCGAATGTCATGGGCGTCCATGGAGCTCCGCAGCGAGTGGGCAGCGGACGTTGTTGCGGACGTGTGGCCCGAAGGAGTACGGCCTGTCATGGGGCAGCCGGAGAATCCACTGAAGCGGGGCACGTTAAGGCGTGCCGAGTCATCGGCAGCCTCTTTCTCCTGTGCGTGCGCATCGATACTTTGGCGCTCAAACTGCTGGATGAGGTTTGAGTGGCGCTGCTCGCGGTCCTCCTGCGCCAGGCGCTGCTGCCGCTCGCTCAGCATGGCCGCATACTCCTCCGCGCTCAGCATGCGCTTCGGGTTGGTGACAAAGAGGAACGGCTTGTCGCAGCGCGCCTTGATGTCCTCAAAGTCCCACGTGGCGTCGATGGGGCGGGCGATGCGGAAGAGCTTCTCCGCGTGCATGCCAATGCAATCCTTCTTCATGCGGGAGGCGAGGTGCTTGCCCAGGGACACAATCTTCATGTCCTTGTCCACGGCAAAGTGCCAGGGGAAGAGGCGGTTTGTCATGCCGGCATTGAGCTGCGCCGTGGCCATCTTCTCGTCCGCAGCCGTCGTCAGCGGCTCCTCGGGGAAGCCCCTGTTTGGTGTGGTTCGTGGAGTTGTGGAGGAGAGGGGGGCGTGGGGTCAGGGGAGGGGGGTTGGGACGTGCGGACGTGCAAAGCAGGAGGCAAGGGTCAGGTACTGCTTCACGTACGTATGACAGTGCAGTGGTGCAGTTGTGTACATAGCACAGATGTGCACATGTACACACGCACAGACAGACACACACACACGCGCACGCACGAACACACATGCACGAACACACACGCACAAACATACACAGGCACACACACACACACACACACACACACACACACAGACACACACACACAAACACGCACACACACACACACACACACACACACACAGACACACACACACACACACACACAGACAGACCTTGGGTCCATGAAGACGTGGAAGACATCGTGGTCGCTGTCCTTGCCGCGCTTGAGGCGGTGGTGGATGTCAATGTCCAGGTCATAGAGCATCTTGGCGGAGCTCTTGAGGGCACCCATCATGAAGGGTGCAAGGCCGCGGCGCTGGCTGTAGTAGTGGATGGACATGGAGTCATCCGGGTTGCGCTCTGGGCGCAGGGAGGGCACCTTCATCTCGGGAAAGGCGGAGAGGAAGTTGTCGTGCAGGCTGTCCAGGTTGGTGAGCATGGTGAAGAAGTCCTTCCCCAGGGTGCGCAGCACAGGCTCGTATCCGTTGCGCACAAAGGTGCCCATGGACATCTTGCCTGCCTCGTACATGCACTCCTCCAGCGTCAGCCCCGTCGCCTGTCAGCAGCCATAAGTCACGGTCGGTGGTGGTAGCGGTCATGGTGGTGGTAGCGGTCGTGGTGGTGGTGAGCGCGTTGGATGCAATGACAAGTAGTAGATGCACTCGAGGAGAGCATGGACGGATGTGACAGCAGCACAATAGCACAATGGCACAGACACACACACACACACACAGACACACACACGCACACACACACTCACGCACACACACACACACGCTCACGCTCACACACACACACACACACACACAAAAGCACACCAACACGCACACACAGACACACACACACACACACCTTGGATGCCAGGTCGAGGAAGAGCATGGTCTGGGTGTCCGAGTAGTGGCGGAAGAAGTCATCGGGAGAGCCGGTGATGTTGAGCTGTTCATACACGTCCTTCAGCGTCTGCTCGCCTCCATCCTGAGACCGCAGCCATGCTGTCAAGGCCTTCATGACATGGCAGTGTGAGGCAAAGCACCAAGCATGGCATGAGCGAAGGCTCGAACGCTGAAGGGGGAGGGGGGGTGGCGTGTGGTTGCAAACAGCCAGCAGGGAGGTGCATCATCGCTCACACGTCACGGCATCGCATGCACACTCCGAGGCAGGCGTGATCGCATTCACTCGCACTTGTTGTACCTGATGAAGAAATCCGTACATGGTGCTGGTGCAGTGGAGAAGAAGAGAGCCTTCGTTGCACGCTTGTCTGTGATGTGAGTTGCTTGCTCGTGGCCTTGCTTGGTTTGTGTTGGTCGGGTGCGTTGGTGCCGGTCCTTCTGCTTGTCTTGATTGCTTGCTTCGTTGCTTCTTGATGCGATATGGCGTGTCGACTTGCGTCAATATGCTAGGATGCGAGGTGCTGCTTGCTAATGCTCAGCTTTGAAAAGGAAATGAACAGCAGCCAAGGTTTGGATCGACTTACTCACTTCCATAAGTGAGCGAGCTGTGCGTGTTGGAATGTGTGCAGCTTCGCTGTCGGTTGGAGCTGTGTGTGTGCGTTCGTGTGGGGTGTGGTTGTGCGGTGTGTGGTTGTGCGGTGTGTGTGTGGTGTCTGCGAGGGTTGTGCATGTGCCTTGACGGGTTTCTTGCCTGTTGTGTGTGTTTACGTTGGTCAGTGTTGGGTGTTTGTTTTGTCCGGTTTCAAAGAGACGAATGCTGCTGTTGTTGCCTTGCCTTTGGTTGGGCCTGCCGTGTGGTGGCAAACATCTGCGTGCAGCGCAACCCTGCACCCATACGCGCACGAACAAAAGGCTTGCTCTGCCACGTGTGGAATGTGTGCGCGCGAGCCACCACAGTGGCGTTGATGTTTTTTTGGTCAGGTCAGGTCACAGCGTGGGCAAGCACCAGAACACAACCACGTTTGAAATTTGCGCGGCGAGACGGTTGTGTGGAGTGGAAGCGAATGTTTCGAGCTCTGGTCAGTGTTTCGCTGAAGTGCAGAAGGAACAACAAAGAACACCAAACGGAAGCGGCGTCGACGAACAAAGACCACGTTTCGAGAAGGCGAATATTGGCTAAAAACTGCAACCAATATTCCAAACAATTTTTCTTTGCAGGCCCGGCATTTTAGCACCTGGAATGATCGTTGTGCGCAGGTTTAGCTTGTTGCATTTCAAGCACCCAACCGCAAGCATTCAAAACGTCTAGCGGAATGCCTGAAAATTTTGCCTGAAATCCCAAGCCCGTGTTCCCTTCCCATGCCTGGAAACGCATCACAAACGTGTGAGATGCGGGAAGTGGGCAGTCATGCACAAGTGCTGTAGCGCTTTGCTGGGCGAAAAAGTGTTGTGGGGTAACTGTTGTGTGCATGGGTCACGCGCGTAGTCTTTCGTCAGCACGGACACTTTGTTGCCTCGTTGACGCGTTGTGTGCTGCGTTGTGTGCTGCGTTTGCAGTGCGTTGTGTTGCGTTGTGTTGCGTTGTGTTGCGTTGTGTTGGGCTGAACCGGACAGACCCAAATGCATGCTACACACTGACGGGTCTTTCTGACGTTGGTGACTTTTACCATTTGCACGCTAAACGCATAACGGTTAGCTTCAAACACCCGTTTGGTGATACACCACAGCAAAAGCGTCCCACTGTGCGCGTGCGTGCAGGTCACAAGACACTGTTGTACGATGCGCTGTAGGTGGCGTTGCCTCTGGTTCGCAAGTTTTTTCGTAGTTGTCCGTCACAGCTTACCCAATACCACGATTGCCGACGTTTGCTTGGTTGACTCGCCCGGAGGTGGGACTGCCGCACAAACACCAAACACACACACACACACACACACACACACACACACACACAGAAAGCGTCATACGCGCAGAAAAAAACACAACGGCAAGACATTGTTGTCGACACGTGGTGCACGCGCTGGTGTTTTGCTATTTTGCGCGGTGTGGGGATCTTGCTTGCATGCGCACGCATGCATGCGAATGTCGTGCGCATGCTGGCTGTGCGTGCGCGTGTGTGTGTGGATGGGATGCTGCGGCGCATGCAGCAGCAGCGGCAACAATGCGACGGCGACGACACGCTCAGTTGGAAGCGCAAAGAAAGCCGTGCTCTTTTGAAAATTGGCTGAAGACACCCTGCAATTGCCCACGCACGCATCAACTTCCCGCACGTTTCGCCAGCCTACTCACGCACAACAAAACACGATGACAAAGACGGCACATACAACATACAACACACACACACACACAACCCTCCACACACACACACCACACACACGCAAGCAAGCAGCTCAAGCAACTGCAACACACAAAACACACAAGCAGAAGGAAGAAAAGTTGACACAGAGAAGGAGTTGACGCACGGGCACCAGCGAACCTTCTTCCTGCATGGGTACACTCATACACACACTCACACACACACACACACACACACACGGTTCGTGCAGTTGTGATTGTGCCTCTGTTCCCATCCATTTTCCACGATCAACCTCTGCAACCAAGAACGACAACCAAGAAGCCAAGCCGAAACAAGGAGTGCTACACACGCCCGTCATTCCGCTCCCATACACACGCACCTACACATACACACGCACCGACACATACACATAGCACCGACACATACACATACCCGTTATCAAGCATTGCCGAAACACCAACGACAAGCAAGAAGGCAAACCAAGTTTGGAACAAGTCTGGATTCTCCCCCCCCCACCACCTTCACAAGCACGCAGGACACCAACCCAAGAAGGACGATAACGGCGCTGAGACAAGCGAGCAAGAAGCCTTCCAGCTTCCTTCCCTGGCACGCACCCTCATCCCCGTCCGCCTCTCAACTTTGTTTTGCAAGCACCCAAGGGACAAACGGACAAGCCCTCCTTGTGTCCGCTGCTATCCTGGCTTTGACTTTTTGACAAGTAAGTTTTGCCCACAATGTGTACGAGTGCGACTCGTGAATGGCTATGAGTGTGACTCGTGAATGGGCTTTGAGGGCGAGTTTGCATTGGATCGCACACACGGCACCAACCAGCCAAATACACACACATACAAACACACACACATGCATACATTCACGCACACACACACATACATTTTTTCATACACACACACACACACACACACGCATTCACGCATTCACTCGCTCATTCACTTCACCCCCTCCCCCCCCCCAAACTCCTCACGCACATGAGCAGCAGAAGAACACGTAAAGGGTGCTCTAGGGCGACACCCCCCTCTCCCTTCCTCCCACCTCGTCTGCGACCATGTACCACCAGCAGAGCCAAGTGCATCAGGCAGAGGACCTTTCTGCGACCACCCCCGTCATGCTCCCATTCGACATGGCGTTCAACAACGACGGCTATGACCCGCAACAGCAAGACGGCTACTCCCACGCGTTCGTGACCAGCGCACGCAGGTGCACCAGCCCCGCCCCACAGCTTGCGGACGCCGGCATCACCGTGGTGCACACACAACAGCAACAGCAACAGCAACCACAGCCGTGCGGCCAGCAAGTGACGGACCCACGCGACCGCAGGAGCAGTGCCACGACAGACAACTCCCTCACGTCTGCTTCGTCCTTCACGGCCTCCAACTCTGCCAGCGACGTCGCTCCAACGTCTCCACCGGCCGCCATTCACACGGCATTCGCCAGCCACCTCGGGCAGGGGACCGTCCAAGACATGGGTATCCCCGCTGCATTCGACGCTGTGCATGGATCAAGCACAAGAGGAGCAACCCTGGCCGAGGACGTGCACACGCACTCAAACACAGCCATGTTCAGCCAGCCACCGCCACAGCCACAAGGCGCACCGGCCTCCTCGTCCTTCTCTTCCCTGCCGCAACTTGAGCCTTTCCCAGACATGGCCCAAGGCAGCGACAGCGGCCACGACAGCAGCACCAGCAACCTCTACGGCAGCTACAACAACGACAACAACAACAACAGCAACAGCAGCAGCAGCAGCAGCAGCAGCGCCAACGGTTTGGGTGCTTACCACGGTCTGCCCGATGCAAACATGATTGCAGGCTCGTTGGCTGCGCTGGAGGAAAACATGCACCACTTCCAGGGCCCAGCACTCACGCCGTTGCTGGCTTCCAACTTGGACCTGTTCAACTTTGACGGCTCGGATACGCTGGCCCACACCAACACCAGCACCACCAACACCAACACCAGCGCTGGCACAAGTCTCTCGATGATGGAGGTGTCCACGTGGGCGGCCAACATGCAGCTTGTGCCCGAGGACAGGGCAGCGGACATCATGCATGCCCACGCCGTGGGCGAAGCTTCTGCTTCCTCTGGCCGCTCCTCTGTTTGCTCCAGTGATGCGGCCTCGGCGGTGTCCGACAAGAACTGGGTCGGTCGTCGCACCACGAAGCGCGGCGGCACACGCAAGTCTGCGCCCAAGCGCAAGCGCAAGCGCAACCGCAAGCGCATTGCCGAGCTGCCTCCCACTCAGCAGGAACACCAGCGTTACGTTTCACGCATGGCCGCTCGCCGCCGCCGGTACGTACATGCCATTCCATTCCACGTTTTGTGTGTGTGTGTGTGTGTGTGGGTGGGTGTGTGGGTATGTGTGTGTGTGTGTTGTGTGTGTGTGTGTGTGTGTGTGTGTGTGCGTGAGTAGACCTCTGTACACGTAGACGGTGGCGCAGAACATGTCGTACGCGCCTTCGCGTCGGCGTTTTGTGTGACTTTACTGTACTGCCTGCGCACACATTGACTTGGGTGGATCTCACCTGCCACGCGCCTTTTGCTTGCCTGCATGCACGCCTGCATGATCCCTGTGAACACACAACAGCCAGAAGCAGGTGGAGGAACTCAAGTACTACACCAAGCGCTCCGAGGAGCTGCTTGCAGACCAGCACAAGCTGCAGGAGCGGCTGGTCAACGTCCGTCGCCAGCGTGACCTCGAGGCCATGCGCCTCCTCGAGCTGGTCGTGGCGGGCCAGTTCTACATTCCCGGCCTGTCTCTGTGAGCCGGCGTTGTGACTGCAAGCTGTGAGCGTCTGCTCCCGACCCCTCCTCTCCACAAACCCCTCCCCTCCCCTCTTCCATCTCAACGCGCGTGTGTTGATGTTGGGCAAGCCTCCTTCCTCTCGTTTCACCCTCTCTTGCTCCTGTTATCTTGTTGTTGTTGTTGTTGTTGTTTTTGTTGTTGTTTTGTTGTTGTTGTTGTTGTTATTGTTGTTGTTGTTGTTGTTGTTGTTGTTGTTGTTGTTGTTGTTGTTGTTGTGCGTGTTACTTGATGACACGTGCACCTCAACTGCTGACCTGTACACACGAGGTGTGGACAGTTGTATCTATGTACAGCCCGTGTGCGGCCTCCCCCGTTGGCTTTTCCCCTTGCCTCCCCCTTTCTCCCCTCTTTTCGTGTTTGGACGCTGTGTTCGAACTGGCTTGTCATTTCTTGCCGCACGCGAGCGTTGGATGGTGTCTTGGACCTGTGTTTTGTCGAGTGGCGTACAGTGTGTGTGTGTGTGTGTGTTGTTGCTGCCTCTTTTCTCCTCTCCCTTGTGAGGTTTGCTCGTGCATCATCTGGCACGTGGAGGAGCGCGTTTGTGGGTTTGCACTTGTACATGCGCTGACACGCGTAAATGTGGAAGAACACTGTGTTTGCAGACACACGTTCTTCTTCCTCGCCCGGTTGTGGCCTCCCCTCCCCCCACTTTTTCCCTTCCGCACGCTGCATCGTGACATGTCGTCACTTTGCCTTTGCTGCATCTGATTTATATACCTCTCCCCTCTTCTCTCTCCTTGCTTCCCCCTCCCCCCTCTTGCCTCTCCTTCTCTGTTCTCGCCCTGATTCTTATTCCTACCGACGTCTTTACTTCCTTTTCCGTGCGACCCGGCGTCGCCTTCTTCTGTTGCTGCTCTTCTGTTGCTGCTGCTGCTGTGTTACACGACTTACTTACGAACTTGCATTCCTTCTGTTCACAAATGGGCTGCCGTGCCTCTGTGCTGTTCATTGCGTTACCACGTTGCCTACTGCTGTTGATTCAAGGCCATTTGGCCGCGTTCTTGTGCACCTTTGCGTCTCTTATGTGCGCCGCCATGTCATGTCGTGGGTTGTGTGCTGTGCGTTATCAATGAACGAAATCGAGACATCATCAATTCTCTGAAGACAACTGAACTGGATAAAACCACGAGAAGGGCGTGTGTCATGTGTGTGCGTGTGTCATGCGTGTGTCATGTGTGTGTGTGTGTGTTTGTAATTGTGTGTGCGTGTACGTGTACGTAATTGTGTGTGCGCACCTGCCTGCCGTGCGTTTGCCGGTAACTGTACCATCACCTAAAACCCATTCGCTCAAAGACCTGCATTCCCGAGCCATGGCTTCTCCTCCACGTCTTCCTGTTCTCTCCGCCTCCGCCCCACCCATTCCAGTCGCATCGTGCCATGTGGGCTATGTGTGTTGGGATCATTTATGGAGAACACAAACACAACAACAAGTGTCTTGCTCAGCAATCCACCGTCAAGCAAAGCAACGAAACGAAACAAGCAAGCCATTCAATAGAAGAAGATAACGACAAACAGCAGCGTGAAACGACATGCGTGTCGGGCAAAAGGTTGTGCACAACACGCACATCATCACCATGGCATAACCAAGCATGACATGTCATCACCATCATCGGAGATGGAATAACAGGAAGATTAAGTAAGAAGGAGGAAAATAGAAAAAGTGCGCAAGCACAGGCGTGCGGTTGGTGTGTGTGTGTGTGTGCGGGGCAGGCGACCTAAGTGAAAAGAGCAGACTGCAGCGGCGGAGCGGCGCGATGGCGGCTGGCCACAGCGGTTCCTTAGGCAGTTCACGTCATCAGTTGGCGCGGAGCGTGCGCTGGACCTTTGGCGCGCTTGCAGCTGTCGCTGCGCTTGCTGCCTTGGACGCCAGGCTGCTGCCACGGCGGCTCTCGGTGGCGGTGGCGGTGGCGGTGGCGGTGGCGCGGTGGTCGATGGCCTTGGGAACGGCCATGGCCGGGTCGCGGCAGGCACCGCCCGACTGTGTGTACCAGGACCTGGGCAGCACCGTTTGCTGCGCAAGGGCCTCCACGTCGTCGGCCTCGCCAAAGGTGACTTGCAAGGAGCGCCAGAGCCGCTGCTGGTGCACAATCTGAAGCAGCTTGGGCTCGGCCTGGCCGTTAATGTCCATGTTCTTGGCAAACGCGGCGTGCACGAGGTCGCTCACCGTCTTGGGCTGCTGGGCGCGAGTCATGGCCATGGTTGTTGTTGTCGCAGTTGTGGCGCTGGTGGTGGTGGTGGGCGTGGTGTTGGACGTGGTGCACGAGGTGGTGGTGGTGGTTGTTGCTGTTGAAGTCAAAGGCGATCGACGATGGGTCGGGCGAACAGATGATAAGTGCAACGATGGATCTGCTGCTGGCGCGTGTGCTGCTGCTGCTCGGCGATAGTGCTCTTGTTGTTCCTGTGACGGCGTTGTTGCTTCAGCGGTGTGAGCGTGCTGCTGCGAGTGATGGTGATGGCGGTGATGGCAGTGATTGGCTTGCTGCTGCTGCTGCTGCTGCTGATGGGGCGAAAGGGAGGTTCTTGCTTCTTGTTGTCCTTTGGCGGCTGGTTGACCTGTTTCTTCTTGGCGCTGTTCTCGTCGCTGCTGCTGTGGTGGATCAGGGTACGGGAGAAACAAAAACTTGATCAGGTGGTAGACGGGGTGGCTCTGGAAAATGGACAACAGGGTGTGCCGGTTGTGCATTACAATGTGGGGGAGGGGATGCGGGAACGGCTTGGCGTGGGGGGTGTGTGGGGTGTGTGTGTGTGTGGCGCGGGTGCTCAATGCTGATCGTGCTCCTTTTGTGCTGCAAGTGTGACAGAAGGTGCGTGCATGTGAAAAGGCTAAGTGTGTGTCGGGTTTGGTTGGTGTTTTGATGCGTGAATGATGGTAGGTCGTGTTGGATGTGTGAGAGCTTTGTGCGTGTGATGAGATGTGTGTGCGTGCGTGCGTGCGTGTGTGTGGTGTGTTGTGCATGCGAAGTGTGTGAGAGAGTGTGTGTGTGAGAGAGGAGCGAACAACACGCGGAAGCAAGCAACGTAAACAACCCGATGCACAAGCAAGCAATAATTATAGCCACACACAAAGGGGAAAAGCCTTGCGACAAACACACACACTCAGTCGATTCCAACAGCAAGGGGGGTGCGTGTGTGCATCATGACGGTCTCACATCATCACATTGCTCACGCATGCGTGTGTGTGTGGTTGTTTGGTTTGTTTGTTGTTCGTGTGCATGGCTCGTGCAGCTGTTGTTGGTGGTGTGTTGATGTGGTTGACGAGATGTGTGTTTGGTTGTTGTTGCTGCTGCTGATAGGCCGTTTCGTGTCGGTCGCGTCAGCAACCGCCGGCTGCTTGACGAAAATCAACCGAAATCATACACACAAAGCATACATGCCCTCAAATCATGCGGAACGTCGGCAAGAGAACGAACCAAACGCGCAAGACACAACAACAACAAAAAACCGACTCGGCTGTTCCGTCTGCGCCTCTGCACGTGTGTCCGTGTGTCTGTAGGTCTGTGTGTTTTGTCTGTTCGTGTCGCACCTCTTGGCGTTGGCATGTGCACGTGTGTCATGGGAGGGTGTGCAGTGCGTGATGTATGTGTAGTGTGTGTGTAGTGTGCAGTGTGTGTTGTGTGTGGTATCTATGTGTGTCTTTGCTCACACTCTCTCCTCACTCCTTCACTCTCACACACACACACACACACAGAGCCTCTGCTGCTTCTCTGCTCGCAGCAGAGCCTTAGAGCAGGCCGCGTGGCTTGTGAAACATCAACCAGCCACCCAGCCACCAGCACCTAGGCGCGGACAAAACCTATCAACACCCAACATCCAACCTGCCCCCTACCCACTACACCGTTACACACCACACATTGATCAAACAGATTTAACAGCGGCAAGGCAACAACAACCATAGCAGGTGGCGCGTCCTGCGATCACAACACACACCTTGAACAGCCTGCGTGGTCCACCCCTTGGCACACCCACACACTTTGTGTTGTGCCACCACAAACGCACACACAAACACACACAAACACACACACACTCTCTCTTTCTGAATGTGCCATGATCAATGTGTGTTGGTTGTAGTTGTGTATTGCGCGCCTCCACTAGCCGCTAGCCGGAGCGAGGGAAGCGAAGCGGCGGGGGAACAAATAGCATAGTCGTGTACAGTCACGTACGTACATGTGTAGTATGAATCTCCATGGCCACTCAACAGCGCGGCAATCAACAATAACACGTACATCATACATGTATCGAGAAGAAGAGAGCATGCACAGCACGCTCAGAACATTATAAGATACGCCAAGATAAGGTCAAGAACACCCCAGCCAGCAAGTGGATGCGCACCGTCACACCCGATGGCAACAGCCACCAGCACTCGAAACACTCACACACACACACACACATACACACACACACACACACACACACACACGAATAATGGATCAATCACCACGAAGGGGCACCGGATGCGACTGGAACATAGTACATCATCGGGGTTGCATACATGCCAAAGGCCTGCGGCCCAATGGCACCAGCAGTGGGCAGTGCAGGGGTCGTGGAAGAAATACCAGGCATCCCACTGAACTGAGGCATCATCATCATGGGTGGCTGCGACGATGCTTGTTGTTGTTGTTGTTGTGGTTGTTGTTGTTGTTGTTGTTGTTGCTGCTGCTGTTGTTGGTTATGGTGGCGGTGGGCTGACTGCATGGGCTCCGTCGTAGACAAGGGCGTGCTGAAGAACGCGGGGGCTACAGCAGCTGTGGCAGTTGTCGCTGCGGCAGTGACAGGGGTCTTGCTGCTGCTCACAGAGACCGGTTGCTGCTGCAGCTGGCGCCGGAGCATCGCAGCCGCGGCAAGGCCAGCCGCCAGCCGCCCGGAGGAGTGCAGCTGAAAAAGCGTCTGGTACAACTGCTGCCGCTGCTGACGAAGGGCCGCCACCTGCTGCTGCAGCGTGTAAGTGTGTTGCTCCTGGTCGGACAGCGCGCGAGACTGCTGCCTGAGCTTCTGACGCATGGCCATGCGATGCCGCCGCGCAGCGAGCCGGTTCATCTGGCGAAGCCGCCGCTGCCGCTCAGGTGGCAGCTCCTTCATGCGCTTGCGGCGATACGGCTGCTTGCCGTGGCCGGCCTGCCGCTCCTGCTCCTGCTCCTGGCACGAGCTGTCGTGGTCATCCTCGGCGGTGCTGTGGCCGTTGCTGCTGAAGCTGGACTTGCGTAGGCACTGGCATTTGGCAGAGGGTGTGGCATGCTCCTGAGACTGTGCGCTCAGGCCGGCGTCCTCCTCGTCAGCCATGTCCTCCTGGGACTCTGTGGTGGAGATGGAGTGGGCACTGCTGCGACGTGGGTGGGCCGCGCCGTCGGCGTCGTTGTCGCTGCTGCTCGCGGTAGCATTGTTGGCGGTGTTGTTGGCGGATGCGCCAACCTCCTTCACATCCTCCGTGATGCTGCACGAGCTCTCTTGGAAGGCAGACGTGTTCCACCAGGAGCCCTCGTCAATCAGCGGCTGCTGCTTGCCCATGCCTTGCAGCCGGTTCTGAAGCGTGAGCCGTGTCTCCGGGAGCGGGAACGACACATGTACCGGCGCGCCACCATCGGGTGTCCCAGGCGTCAGCCGCTTGCTGAGCATTTCATTATATGCGTCCGTCATCCTTGCTGAGAATACAGCGATGGAGAAGGAGGAGAGGGAGAGGGAGAGGGAGAGGTGGCTGCGAATTGCTGCGCGGTGACAGGTCGTCGCAGTCGCTTGCTGTTCCGGTTACTGGTGTTCTTGGTGCAGTTGCTTGGTGGTGTTGTTGTTGTTTGGGGAAAATGAACCACGATGTCATGAAGAGATCAATTCCACTTGCCAACTTGCGTGGTTGTGTGCATTTGTGTCCCTGCTGCTGCCCTTGCTCTTCATGGTTTCCTTCCGTGCCCGGATGCAAGACAAACAGTGGTCAGCCACCTCCCACCCGACCGAGACACACAACGCGCCAACTCAACATCGACATGCTTTTCATCATGGCCCACTCACGAAATCACGGCCTTGTCACTTTTGCCATGTCTTCCACAAATAACCGACAGCCGAAGGGCAATTCGCGAAGACAGGGCGCGATGCAATGCGTCGAGGCACTTGCGCGAGGTTGGAGGTGGCAAGGACGCGGGCTGCTTGCACACACTTGAGCTTCGGCAAAGGGGAATGTGCCTTGGTGGACATGACGTGGGACGTGATCGCTGCGAAACAACTTGCCGTGACACTCGTTTGGGTATGACATGAGACATAAACGCACCGCATTCCACAATGGCCAGACCACACAACACGACGTCACTCGGCCAGAACACCTGAGAAGGTAAGGTCAAGCAACAGCACTGTGCGGCGACTTGCTGTCCTCCGTAGCTTGCCCTCACTTCCTTCCCCCAATGCTGGTCGCTTGCATGCATGCCACCTGACGCCATCTGCATGCGCTGCGTCGCACGCCCGCCACCCAACTCGCCAACCACCTTGCACCACCCTCAACACCACACGCGCACGCAAGCTGCATGGAAGCCTCGGTGACTCAAAAGCCGCCACGAACGTTGGCTGGGCTACACCACACAAACCATGCAACCACACAACCACGCAACAATGCCACTGTACTGCAAGCGTCAGCGCCAGTGGAGTGAGCCAGCATGCACACACACGCACGTACAACAGTGCGACGTGCAAATGCCCAGAACCACGACATACGATACATGTGGCAAGCGATTGCGTGCTGCGTGCAACGACGAAACCAATGCGCAGCCTTGCAGCAGACTGCCACAGGCCTGGCTCTTGTAGAGGGGTGCAAGCAGTCATCTGGTCATAGGGTCATGTGCGGTGTTCGGACGTCGCATCTTGTGTGGTGCGGGAGTGAGTGAGTGAGTGCCATTGAGTGAGAGAGTGAGTGAGTGAGTGAGTGAGAGAGAGAGAGAGACAGAGAGTGAGTGAGTGAGTGTGTGTGTGTGTGTGAGTGAGTGAGTGAGTGTGTGTGTGTGTTAAAGACTGAGTGAGTGAGTAAAGTCGACATGTGGGCGAGTGAAGCCATCAGTCACCACCCACCTGCAGGATCAACGACACCCCCTTATCCTCTTTGAAGTGAGTGTTCATTTATTCGTGTCAACAGCCGATAATGAACACAGCAAACATCAACGCTCAACAACAGCAAGCAGCAGCAGTCGTGTATGATGTGAATGCAGGCAATCCAGAGTTGCAACAAAAAGAAGAAGAAGAAGAAGGGGGGGAACAAACAAGATACTCAATAGAGGCATGACGCGACGGCACATGCCCACAAGACAGGCACAGCGCACATGCACACGGAAGCAACCAGTCACACACACACACACACACACACACACACAAGCTGGAAGAACGTGTGACATGGAAATCGCCATTGGCATTGCTGGCGAGTCACAGGACGATAAACAAAGAAGCGTGAATGGCAACGCACATGGGTCAAGAACAACTGCGATCAGCAGGAGAAAAAACAGAAACAAAAAGGCCAACAGTGCAGCGGGCAACAACTGCAGCAACAGTCACAGGATGGCAAAGCAACAAATAACTGTATTCACATCAGCCATCTCAAACAAAGTTGCGCTCATGCCTTCATTCCGGCACGCTGCTGAAGCTGAAGGCCGTGTTCCTCGCGCCAGTCAGCGGTTTGGTCACGCTGAACGTCGGGGAAGGCGGGACACCACTGAACCTGCCGCCAAGCCCGTTGCTGCGTTGCTGCGGACGAGCGTTGCTCGGACCAGAAGGCCCATTGGCCGACGTGGTTCGAGGCAGCCCTTGCGGCCCTGATGAGGTCGCACTCACGGGGCGAGAGCGTGAGTAAATGCTGCTCTGCATGCGGTACTGCACGCGAATCATGTTCAGCTCATCGCTCAGCTCCTCCGTGCCGTCGTCTTCGGGCAGCAGTGGCGGCGTGTCGGACCCGTCTTGCTCGCCCAGCACAAGGAACGTCTTGATGGTGCCCTTGCCTTTGATCTCAAGGCGCCCGCGCGGCGCAATGATGAGCCGGTGGTAGCCTGGCAGCGCTCGAAGGAACCGGTACGTCGCCTAGTGCGATTGGTTGGTTGGGAGGGGGGGGGGGCGGAATGGAGGAAGAGGACGAGTCGAAAGAGCAGTGAGGGAGTAGACTTAGTTGCCTGGCACAGGATGGGCTTATGGAGAAAGATACAGGCACAGGTACACATATACAGATAGGCACAGGCACACAGATAGACGCACAGGTACACACACACACACACACACACACACACACACACACACACACACACACACACACACACACACACACAGACACACACACACACACACACAGACACACACACACACCTGGATGCATCCCGGCAGGCCGTTGCTCTCCATGCGCGAGGCGACGTTGACGGTGTCGCCAAACAGACAGTAGCGTGGACGCGCACGCCCGACAACGCCGGCCATCAACGGGCCAGAGTGCAGCCCAACGCGGATGCGGAGTGGCTCACCATCGAGCGGCGAGAGCACCGTCTGTGCCGTGCGCACCATGTCAATGGCCAAGCGGGCGATGCGCAGAGCGTGGTCCTCACATTCCTCCGGGCAGCCCGCCGTCACCATGTACGCGTCGCCAATTGTCTCCACCTTGTAGCAGCCATGCTGGTCCGCCAAGTCATCAAACTTGACAAACAGCTCGTGCAGCATGTCCATCACCTCGAGCGAGGGCACTTCTGAGGAGATGTTCGTAAAGCCCGCAATGTCGCTGAACAGAACAGTCACCTGGCGCAATGGTTGCATTCCACGTGTGCGTGTGCGTGCATGTGTGTGTATACATGTGTATGTGAATGTAAGCTTGAGAGGGTGGTTGATTGGGTGAAGGGACACAGATTTGGGGCAATAGCAGAGCAACAGCAGAGCATCTGATGTTCGCACACACAAATGCACAACGCACACACATGTGCACAACGCACACACATGTGCACAACGCACGTGCTCGTATTGCTCGGCGGCCGGGATCTCGCCACGTGCCAGAGAATCTGCGACCACCTGGGGATTGGTGAAGAGGAAGAGAAGGAAGGGAATTTGAGACCATGCATGGTGGCAAGAACAATGCACTTACGCACAAGCAAACACTCGTTAACACACGAACATGAACACAGGCAAACACACACCTGCACACACACCTGCACACCCACACCCACCCACCCACACACCCACCCACACACACACACACACAAGACACACACACAGACACACACACACACACACACACACACACACACACACACACACACACACACACACACCGGCGGAAGAATGCTGTGGAGGAGGCCGTCAATCTGCTCCTTCTTGGAGTGAACTTCGGCCATGGAGCGATCGAGGTCTGCAAGCTTGGCCTCAACATCGTTCGAGTTGGATGCAGAGATGGCCTGGCACATGGAGCCATAGAGGACCTCCCGTCCATGTGAGTGCACTGGCAGATCTGTCAGGTCGATGCCTTGTGCTTCAAGCTCTTCCATGGACTGCACGAAAGGGTTGCCGACAAACAGTAGCACTTGCTTGTCCTCGTCAAACACCACCTCCCCATGCAACTTGATGTGGGAGGCCTTCTTCAGGTGACGGGAGCGAGCCTCGAGCAAATCCATCGAGCTGCGCGCAGATGTTCCAGCAGAGGTGCTCGCAGTCGTTGCTGATGACTGGCTGTGCCGCATCCCCGTCATTGGGCACCCGCTTGGACGGAGACTGCCCGCGCCAGAGCGCTCTGCCGCTGGCAATTGCGTGCTTGTGCGCGCACTCGCACGACCCGAGGTTGCCTGGCTGCTCGAGGACTGCTGCTCAAACTGCTGGATAAGGTTTGAGTGGCGCTGCTCGCGGTCCTCCTGCGCTAGGCGCTGCTGCCGCTCGCTCAGCATGGCCGCATACTCCTCCGCGCTCAGCATGCGCTTCGGGTTGGTGACAAAGAGGAACGGCTTGTCGCAGCGCGCCTTGATGTCCTCAAAGTCCCACGTGGCGTCGATGGGGCGGGCGATGCGGAAGAGCTTCTCCGCGTGCATGCCAATGCAATCCTTCTTCATGCGGGAGGCGAGGTGCTTGCCCAGGGACACAATCTTCATGTCCTTGTCCACGGCAAAGTGCCAGGGGAAGAGGCGGTTTGTCATGCCGGCATTGAGCTGCGCCGTGGCCATCTTCTCGTCCGCAGCCGTCGTCAGCGGCTCCTCGGGGAAGCCCCTGTTTGGTGGTTGTGTGTGTGTGCGTGGGGGAGGGGGGGGTGGTGGTTAGGACGTGCGGACGTGCAAAGCAGGAGGCAAGGGTCAGGTACTGCTTCACGTACGTATGACAGTGCAGTGGTGCAGTTGTGTACATAGCACAGATGTGCACATGTACACACGCACAGACAGACAGACACACACACACACGCACGCACGAACACACACACACACACACACACACACAGGCACGCACGAACACACAGGCTCAAACATACACAGGCACACACACACACACACACACACACACACACACACACACACACACACACACACACACACACACAAAAGCACACCAACACGCACACACACACACACACACCTTGGATGCCAGGTCGAGGAAGAGCATGGTCTGGGTGTCCGAGTAGTGGCGGAAGAAGTCATCGGGAGAGCCGGTGATGTTGAGCTGTTCATAGATGCCTTGTAGCAGCTGCTCTCCGTCCTCCATGGAGCCAATCCATGAGGTGAGCGCCTGATCATCGCGGCAACAAACATAAACACGCATTGTATGGATGAGAATGAGAGTCGGATGCTCACCACACTATCATGCTCTTTGTATAGTCGGGCATCTTGAGGCAATGGGAGCCAGCAAGCAGGTGATTCGAGTAGCTCTTGCGCTGACTCGCCAGCACAAACAAACTCCACCCTTGAGACTCCCTCAAAACAAGTACCCATCCAGACCCTCAAGTCCACTTGGGTGAAGGTGAATTACCTGATGCATCAATCCATACATGGTTGTTACTGGTGGGCCGTGTCAGCAAGGAGGTGGAGGAGGTGGAGGGGGTGGAGGAGGTGGAGGTGCGAGGGAAGGGCTTATGAAGTCGCGTGCTTGCTTCTTTCCTTATTTGCCGCCGTATCCGTTAGTAGCCTGCTGGCTGGCTTCTTGCATTGGTTGGTCAAGTTGCTTGCGTATCAAAGACGGGCTGAGGTTGTTGACTGACGGTGCTTGTTGTTAGCGCAGCAACGGATGAGAAAATGCACGTTGGATGCGTGTGTGTGTGCGTGTGTTTGGTTGGTTTGGTTGGTTTGGTTGATCTGGCTTCCAGTCTGGCTGTTGTGCTTGCATCAGCGCAACGCATAGTGCAGCAGCCAACCGTCGAATAAAGCATGCTCTATCGCCGCCGTGGTGGGTGGTTGATGTGCGGTGAGGTGCGACATCTTCCCGTCAGTTCTGGCTGTGCAGTGGCGACGGCGACCTTTGTGGTTGTGTTGTGTTGTGTTTTGACATTTCGGGTTTTGGGTTGGGCGTCTCGGAAACCAAGTGCGTTTCCCAAGGATCGCATCGGCACTCATCAACTTCCCACCAGCACCGTTTGTCAGCGAAGTTGCGTCAGTTTCGTCAGTGTTTCGAGGCCTGCATCTTGTGGTGTCGCTTACTCGTGATGGGCGGCGAGACCGGTGGCGGTGCTGGTGGTGGTGGTGGTGGCGGTGGCGGCGAGAGAGCAAAGGCGGAGGAGGATTGGAGGGACTGCATCGAGTGCAAAATCGTCGGCACGCTATCCCTCACCCTCGCAGGTGCACGTGTGATGTGTGTGTGTGTGTGTGTGTGTGTGTGTGTGTGTGTGTGTGTGTGTGTGTGTGTGTGTGTGTGTGTGTGTGTGTGTGTGTGCGCGCCTGGAAGGTCGCATGATTTGCATGATTGATTGCTGCAATTATCACTTGATTGAGGCATGCACAGGTCGGCAATCTGGACAATGTGGGTTATGGGTACACGAAGCAATGTGTTCTAAATGATGGTCTCTCCACTGATGGTCTCTCCACTCAACTGCAAATGCTTGCACTTTGATCGATTGTGACAGGTGGATATTTGCTCTACAGCAGGCGCCAGGTGCCAACCTCCTCTGTCAAGCTCCGCAAGTTCATGAAGGGCTTCGCTTTCAGTGAGTTGAGTTGGCATGATACGTGCGCACGTAGTTGCCTCAGATCACTGTGCAGCTGACCCCGTTTTGTCGCTCTTTGATGCACCCACTCACCAGCCCTCTGCTTGCTCTTGTCGCCCTGCGTTCAACCCGTCACAACCTCACACACTGCCGCCTGTTTGCTGCTTGTGTTACCCACCAGCATTGTTTGGCCTGGCAGCCGCCCGCGCTGCGGTTTAGCCCCCGGCTCACCGCGACCAGCTCTTCTTGTGCCTGCCTGCATATTGCCTGCCCCAATAAAAGAACGTTCCCACGCCACGCCGTCAACAACAGAATCGCCACATGACAAAACCATCCACATGCATCATTTCATGCACAAAACGACAACCACACTGTGTGCTTGAAAACCAAAACAAACTCACCAACAAACTCACATCAACAACCACACGACACCCCCACACCACTCATCATCATCATCATCGATCAGTGGTTCAAGGCCCGCGCGCACCCATGCTGGCGCTGTGGGAACAGCTGCACCGGCGCACCATGGTCTTGGAGGCCGTGATCCTGCTGCGCCTTAGCAAGCTGGTCACGCAGGTGCTCGATGCGCAGCTCGAACACAACGGCGATGCGGTGCAGCACGTTGTCGACTGTGTTGGGCAATGCAGCGACAATGTGGTTGACGGTGAGGACAGCAACGAAGGTGCTGCCACTGACCTCGGTGCAGACGCACTGACACAGGTGTCGCCTCAGCACTTGCGCACACGCCGCACACTGCCACCAACCCATCCACAGCAGCAAGAACAAGAACAACAGCAGCAGCGCCCCCACAACCACCAGCAGCACGCACACCAACAGCGTGAAGACCAACAGCAAGAACAGCGTGAACAGCAAGAACAGCATGGAGACCACGTGCTGCAAGTCACCCTCACAGCCGGCAGGGAACAGAAAGAAGACGTGAAGGAAGAAGAAGCAGGGGAGACGGATACTGAAACGTGGTGGGAAACTGAAGCGGAGGAGGATGGGCAGCACAGACAAGAGGCAACGCAATGCCATGACACTCCACCCCTTTCGTCAAATGGTACTGTGAACGGTGGTGGGTCGGGAAGGAGAATACACCAGGCACCGAGCAAAGACGGCCCGACTGTTCGTCGCGAAGACAGCGAGCAGTGCACATCGCAGGTGCCGCCGCATCTCTCTGTCCTCCAGCCTGCTCAGGGCTACACTCATCCAGGCGTGACAACACCCCTACAGATTAAATGGTGCGTGCGAGATGTCGCGTCGGCGACACATCAGTGTGGATGGAAACCTCATACACAGCAGGGGGAAGTGACACCTCACAGCGAGGGTAACGCATGCACTGGAACATCTAGTCAGTCTCTCGCGCTTGCTCAACGATCCTCACCACCATTCACTGGCACCCCCGATTGCTTGCATCAACAGGACGAGCACATGTGCCACACCCACAACCGTTACCATCGAACTCTACCAGCTCATCAGCAGCGAATCACATGAGGACACCACTCTGGAGCTTTCATCGGTGCGAGCTTGCTCACTACACGTGTGTGATGTCATGCGTCGCCATTCTTGCTCCACATCTCTGGCAATGAGTAGTTCGTGTGCATTCACATCTGACCTCTGTGTGTGTGTGTGTGTGTGTGTGTGTGTGTGTGTGTGTGTGTGTGTGTGTGTGTGTGTGTGTGTGTGTGTGTGTGTGTGTGTGTGTGTGTGTGTGTGTGTGTGTGTGTGTGTGTGTGTGTGTGTGTGTGTGTGTGTGTGTGTGTGTGTTGTTGTTGTTTCCTTTCACTTGTCTCCTGTTTCGTGTCGTCCATCTCGCAAGTTGAGCATCGTGGCCCATGTGCTCCCCTCACTCCTTCACACACGACCTGCCGCCATGCCATTGCAGGTGGTGGATGTTGGGGCCTCGCTGCACTTGGACTGGGACGTGACACCATGGGAGCGTGATGGCGTCCAGAGCGTCGCCGTTGCGCTATGGCATGTCAAGGTAACGCCATCACATTCATCACGTTCCTCCGCGCACACGCGTCTCGCTGCGGGGTGCTGCGCAGCGCCCTGCTGCTGCTGCTGCTGCTGCTGTTGTTGTTGTTTTTGTTCTCGATGCCTGCACACTGACCCCCTGGCCATCGCGTTTGTTTACGTGCGCGTTGTGCAGGATCACGTGGCGACAAAGTGCTTGGACGTGCTTGGACACGCGCAGTTGCACGGGACACACGAGGCTCCCCTTCCTCTCCAAATTTCACCCAGCATCTACTACACGGTACTTTAACATGTTCACATTCGTGCAACAAGGTGTTGTGCGCGCGCGCGTGTGTGTATGTGTGTGGAGTTTGAGTGTGAGTGTGAGTGTGAGTGTGTGCGTGAGTGTGAGTGTGTGGAACGAGTGTGAGTGTGTGGAACGAGTGAGTGTGTGGAACGAGTGTGAGTGTGAGTGTGAGTGTGAGTGTGAGTGTGAGTGTGAGTGCGCGCGCGTGCATTCGCATTCTCGGAAGCATCATGTCACATCATGTACAGCGTGGTGAATGTTGAGTTGCGCCTCGAATAACAATGCCACAATTGCGCTCGAGCCATGTTGAAGCCGCTCACAGCCCCTACCATTCACGCTACACTTGATCAGGTCACCGTGACTGCGAGTAGTTTTGACGCTGCACGCCAGCAGCAGACACAACAGCAACGACGACAACAACAACACCACCAGCAGCACCACCAGCAGCATCGTGTAGCGTCGGAGTTTTTCGAGATCCGTGCGCCACAGGAGGAAGTGCAGCCTGTTGATGTGGCTGCCTCCTCCTTGCTGGAACCAGGCGCTGCCGTGCGCGTGTGTCTGACAACCACACACAGTGCACTGCTGGACGCGTCCACGTTTGCTGACGAGAGCACCGACGTCAGAGAAAGGTCCCACAACCACGACGTTGTGGCGCAGAGCAGTGCAGGTGGTCATGGAGATGGTAGGGATGGGGACGATGAGCAAACGCACGCGAAAGGGGTGGGAAGTGATGACGGCGAAGACAGCAGAGCAGCGCTCAGTGGTGCAGAGTGTCAAACCGGGTTGATGTGGGGCACACCATCAGGCCTATGCCACGACAAGGTGGTTGGCGGTGCAAGCACGTGCGACGATGGTGCTGTGCAACAAACAGCAGGCAGCATCAAATGTGTGTTTGACAGCGAGGAAGTTGACTGCCGGGGCATGCGAGGCGTTGTCGCAAACGTTCGCGACGACAGCGTGCTGGTGAGTTGTATGTGTGTTTGAATGTGTGTGTGTGTGCGTTCGTGCGCTCTTGTGTGTGAATTTGCTTGCTTGTGTGTGTGTGTGTGTTTGCGCGCGTTTGTGCACCTGTGTATGAAGATTCGCTTGTCAAATACTGCTGGTGGGTGGTGTTTGCGATGTGTCCATGAGTCCTTCTTGCTCCAATGCACTCACGGTTCGGTTTTGCATGCGCTTGTTTGCCAGGTGCACTTTGCTGCGTTTTCGTCATGGGTTCCCCGCAGTGACCTGCTTCTCATCCTCCATGCCTCCCCAGAGAAAAACAGTGACACCACCACTGATAGCAACAGTGACACCAACAGCAATAGTCACACCAACAGCAACAGCAACAAAGATAGCGACCACAGCAGTCAGCTCGAAGCTGGAGGCAACGTCAACAACACTGCATAGGTTGCGGTGCACACTCCGAGTTGTTTCGCTTTGTGGTCTGTGACCACCGCTCCTTCTCCCCTCACGGTCTGGTTTGGTTAGGAAGAGCATGTTATGTAGGTGGTGTGCAATGCCTGGGTAGGTCGTGACGCATTCACTCTTAAAACGCAGTTGCGTTTGGGTGTCGCTCAGCGGTGAGAACGGTTGCTTGGTGCGGCGTGATGTTGTGCGCTGGTGTCGTGTAACTAACAACAATGTTAAGTGCTGCAGTGATGTGCCATGAATGAAGGAAGACAAGGGTTGTTTATCATCGACAGTGAAAGCCTACACAATCGACAGGCGTGCCAAGTGCACAGAAGAGACAACAGAGCTAGGAGGGCACGGGGGAACGGTCAATCTCGTGCGGGGGAAAGAGGGGACGGGGGGGGGGAGGGACGCAGGGCAGAGCAAAAGAACTCAAAGGCCAAGAGCAGAACGAAATAGTGGTTCCTCAGCCACGCTAATGGATGCGTGCATGAGGTATTGCTACTCGAAGACGTGGAGATACACAGACAGGGGAAGGGTGAGGTGGAAGGACAGCATGTGTGCACCAAGCGACACATAGACAGCCTGGAGTTGGGGGGGGGGGAAGAGACAGATAGATTGACCGACAGACAGAAAGATTGACCGGCAGATTGACCGGCAGATTGACTGACTGACACACACACACACACACACACACACACACACACACACACACACACACACACACACACACACACACACACACACACACACACACAGGCAGACACAAACACACACACACACACACACACACACAGGCAGACACACAGACACAGGCAGATACACACACACATACACACACACACACACACACACAGATACACTGTTAACTGGACGAGTTGGCAAGGGACGGAAACTGAGTGGTGATGGCACGCGAGATGAGCTCATAGGAGACAAAGACGGTGACGCAGGAAGGAAGCACGCGCACTAGGTTGACTTGCAGGCCACGGAAGAAGCCGTGCCAACCCTCCTCCACCATGATGCGGTGCACCACGTCCCGTAGCCGGGTCCTTGATCGCGAGTCCTGCAGCCGCGACCGCACGACCTCGTGCGGGTATGTGATGGTGGATGCAATGGCCTTTGATAGCGCTGACGAGACGATGAGGTCCAGGATGGTCTCCTTGCTGTCGTTCCGGTGTCGCCGCGCAAACTGCTTGAACTTCTCGTACACGGGGAACTGGATGGCCACGTGTGAGAGCCCGAGCATGGACGCGGACAAGCCTTTGTACAAGGCGGTCACGCCCTCCGTGCGCCCGATGTACAGCATGCGCCGGAAGACGCCGAGTCGAGTGACGGCGGGTGACTCTGCTCCGTTGGGCGCGAGCCCAGATGGCGTCGGGGTGTCTGGCGAGTGGTAGATGTCGCTGATCATGCGTGTGCGCACCACCCAGAGCGGGTTGGTGGCGCAGTCGGCGGCAAAGCCGGCGGTGATGGCGGCGACGCAGTGCTGCCAGGTTGCGCTGTCTCCGTTGGACATGAGCGCCAGGCGTTGGTTCATGGCACCGTACACGGGAAAGTAGATGGCCCAGAACAGTGGCATGGTCATGAGGCTTGGCCTCAGGCCCCGAAACAAACCTGGCGCGCCTTCCTCCTTGTAGATGGTGCGCACCGTTGAAAAGACGCCCTCATACTTGGGCGATCCCGGCACAAACGCGCCCTGCAGCTGCTGCCTGACCTTGGCGACGTCCAACGGGGAGCACAGCACACAGTTGATCACGCCAGCACCGGCGCCCGCCATCATGTTCACGCGCGCCCCATTCCCGCTACTCATCCCAGCGGTCGTAAGCGTGTATGCGTGTGTGCTTGTATGTGTAAGTGTATGTATGTGTGAGTGTATGTGTCGTCGTACTGTGGTCGCAATGCCAAACCACAGCGCGCAGCTGTACTGCGGGTTGCGGCAAGTGAATATGCGTGGTGTGGACGGGTGGATGTTGTGGATGTGGATGGTTGGCAATCAGGGATGGGGTTGCAGTGTCAGCGGTTGCGGAAAGTGCAGCGCAATGTGCGAAACGTTGGGCGCTTGGTTGGGTTTGATGCGCGTTTAATGAAATTCATTGTCGTGAATGAAGAAAGGCGTACACACGCACGCAGACACACACACGCACGCAGACACACACGCACACACACACACACACATACACACACACACACGCACACAGACACAGAGACAGACACACACACACAAGGTGCTATAAAGAGGAAGCAGTTGATGCTGGTGTTGTTGATGTAACAGCGGCAGCAGCATGCGCAGCAACAGTCTCGTTGTGCTGCTGGTCTTCAGCAGTGACGCATTGGGGAACCTCTGTCACTGTTCCATTGAGGGAGCAGCGGAAATGGCCCATGGGCACAAAGCCGTCCTCGCACACGGGCTGGCACGCGTGGCCGCTCAGCAGGCTCGTGTGCCGCCCACAAAGCGTCGTCGCGTTGCTCACCTCCGGCAGCGGGTAGCACACAATTGGGGTGGGCTGCGACGCGCGAAGCACACACGCCGCAGCAAACAGCGCAATGATCGCCGTCGTCCAAAACAGGCGCGAACGCTTCACCTCCGTCGGCAGCCGTGACACGTGCGTCAACATGGCCTCATTCACCGCAACACCATCAGGGGCCGATGAGGCTGACGCCTTCGCCCTGCCCGCCTTGCTCTTCTTCTTGTTCTTCGTGTTCTTCGTGTTCTTCTTGCTGCTGCGGCGTGAGCGGGATGATGATGGCGCTTGTGCTGATGACGACGGTAATGATGCAGGCAGCAGAAGCTCCTTCTGCGCCTCATCGTCATCAAGAAGCACAACATCATCATCACCATCATCGTCAACATCGGTGTCATCTTCATCTTCATCGCTGGAGCCGAGTGATTGCATCGGTATTGCTTCGCCCTCACTGCCACCATCACCACCATGGACATCCTTGCTCCCAGCACCACCCTCCTCCTCGTTGTTTGCTGCGGACGCGTGCTCCGCTGCCCCCGCGCGCTTGCGTGCAAGTTGCGCTTGCTCATTCCAGTCCGTTCGGTAGAAGACTTGCACGGAGCAGGCAATCACCTGCACGACGACGGCGCTGACCAGGGCGAGCCACAGCCCACGCACCTCCAAGTCAAGCACAAACGCCGTGACAATCACCACGGGGGTGGCCACAACATAGTAGCCAATCACGTTGAAGATGGCGCCAAACATCTGCATACCGCACCCGCGCAGGATGCCGCTGTACACGCCCTGGGTGTGGTCAAACAGGGTGAAGAGGCTCACGATGATGAGTACACCAGACGTCATGTGCACCACCTCCTCGTCCTCCGTAAACGCGCGCGGCAGCACATTCCGCAGCGAAAACATCAGCACAGACGTGCACGTCGCTGTATGTGTGTGTGTGTTGTTGTTGTTGTTGTTGTTGTTGTTGTTGTTGTTGTTGTTGTTGTTGTTGTTGTTGTTGTTGTTGTTGTTGTAGTTGTTGTTGTTGTAGTTGTTGTTGTTGTAGTTGTTGTTGTTGTTGTTGTTGTGTGCAGTGTTGTTGTTGTTGTTGTGTGCAGTGTGTCGTATGAGCGGAGTGTGCAAGTAGGCTGTGAAACAACCAACAACCAACAACAACAACAACAATGACGACGACGACGACCATGGCGACGACAAGACCCAAGCATGTCATGTACAAGGTGGTCACGACAAGGCTTGCATTGCAAGGCAGACTGGGCAGTCCACTTGGCACGTCGCAACAGACCTGTGCATGCAACCATGACGAGTGCAATGATGGCAGCGCGGCGGGCGCGGGCCGGCTGGTTTGATCCAAGCAGATTGCCCACGCGCACGTTCGCAGCTGTACAGACAACACGTAGTCGACAAGCGAGGTGAGCCAAGGAACGTTGGGGCATGGCGTTCATCGGCTTGAAGGAGTACAGGCTGATCTAGCACAGACACAGGCGTGCACGAACAGAAGCGTGGACAGACAGTGGCGACCAGACACACAGACACACAGACACACACAGATACAGACACTAACCGATGCTGATGCCGAGTGGGATCATGAAAGCAAAAGCGCCCAAGTTGAGGACAATGAGCTGTGCTGCGAGCTGCACCTCGCCCATGAGGCCGGCCAGGAACTGGCAAATCTCAAACGACCACCACTCGATGCACGTCATGAGGAGGCCAAAGATGGCGAGCCGCAGGTAGGACCCCCAGCCAAGCAGCGCTGCCCGCGTCCACCCGGGCCACGTATCGCGGTAGAGCCCGCTCAGGTAGATGTACGACACCAACGACGCCGACTGCACAACCACGTTCACCACCTGCGCATGCGTGAGTGAGTGAGTGCGTGAGTGAGTGAGTGAGTGAGTGAGTGAGTGAGTGAGTGAGTGAGTGAGTGAGTGAGTGAGCAAGTGTGAAAGAGAGAGAGAGAGTGTGTGTGTGTATGTGTGTGTGTGTGTGCAATTACTTGGTGGCACGCGTGTACCCTGAGCCACTTGCGAGAAGCTACAACCCGCCTTTCACCACAGCGATGCAGTGCGCACACCTACGGCCACACTCCTTTCCCCCTCCCCTTCTCGAAGCACCACACGCGAGCACCATCAACACCACTGCCACACCGCACGGGCAGCACCTGGGTGAGGGCCGCGCCGATGATACCGAGGTCCATCTTGACGATGAAGAGGCCGCAGCAGGCCAGATGGGCCAGGTTCCCTGCCAACCCGCAGAAGAAGATTGGTCGACCAACGTTCTGCGCCTGTGGTACCCAATGGCATTCCAGCAGTGATGGGCCGCGCGTGTTTGTGGGTGTGTTGACGCTCGAATGAGCACACGAACGTAATCCATGTGCAGGTGGCACTGCATGCCAACAGACAAGAAGTTACACACCGGAACACATGCACATGCATACGCACACGCACACACACACACACGCACACGCACACACACATGTACTGACCATGAGGTAGTGCTGCAGGAGCGTGTTGAAGAGCGCAAAGGGAAGCACGGGCAGCGCATACAGGATAAACTCTCCGCTCATCTTGGACACCTGCAACAAAGACAGCCACGGCAACACACGGCTGGTTGAGCTGATTGGTTGTGCACACCGGTACACACAACGAACGGAAACGCACCAGCACTGCCACAGTAACAATTGCAACACACACACACACACTCACACACATACACGCGCAAACACACTCATTCACACGCTCTTACACACATACACACACACATACACACGCACACACACACACACACGCACGCACGCATACACGCGCGCGCTCTCTCTCTATCTCTCTATCTCTGTCTGTACAACCTCCCTACTTCGCAACAAACCTGTGGATCTTGGTGCAGAGCGAGAAGGATGGAGCCGGCGTTGACCCAGAGGCAGGCAGTGACCAACGCACAGAGCCCAAGGATGCACATGCCACGCTGCAAGATGACACCGAGCGCCTTCTTGTTGGAGGCGCCCCATGCCTGCGATGACAGCGTGTCGCTTGCAGAGGAAAGGCCCGCGCCAATGGAAATGCCAAACACATTGCCAAAGGACACGCCCAGCCCAACAACATCCAGCGCAATCGTATCCATATAGTGGCCAACAAAGATGACCAACACCAACCCGCTCATCATCTGCAGCAGCGATGACAGGGCCACTGGCCACACAAGCGCAAGCAGCGTCATCACTTCTTGCTTAAGCTGAACCTTTGCGGCACTGCCGTCATCGCCAGCTTCATTACCGCCCTTGCTCATGCCGTCCTCCAGCTTCACATCGTCGTCATCACTGGAATCGTGATCTTCATACACGTGCTCCATCGCCTTCCTCCGTGTGCCTGTTGCTGAGGATGGTGCATTGATGGCAACCGGTTGTTGATGCGAGGGCCTTTCGTCGGCTTCGGCTTGCTGCTGATCCACCTCCTGTTGTAAGGTGTTCTCTCTTGGAACCATGACAATAGAGTCGTTGTTGTTTACGCTTCTCCCGCTCCTTTGAAAGCTTGGGGCGTGGTAATCCTGACGTTGCCTCGACGAACACGAGCAAGCCTGAACAGGATAACAAATACACTCACGCGCGCCAACAGCTGACTGACACCTGAACAAGTGTTTCTTGGCGCTGCGGTGGTACACAGGAAGGAGAAGAAGGGGGCAAGGGGAATGAAGTGAGTGTGTGCCGCTCCCGTCCACGTGGTGTCACAAGCAAGACTTCACCGCTTGGTTCGTGCAGTGGAGAAAATGTGTGAGGACCGCATAAGACAACAAGAACAGGCACAAGGAAAGAGCTTTGCATGTCAAGCAACGCCACGAACTCACAACACCTCCGTCGTGGGTGCTCACTGGCTCACCGATTGGTGTACGAAGGAGAACGTGACAGTTATGCAACGCCAACCCCTGGCCGGATATGACGGGGTGCTCCCTGGCTCTGGTGCGGCTGTGAACGTGGATCGTCGAGTGACGAGCGTTGGTGCGGTGAGCACGTTGCGCCTTGGTGTTGGTGGTTGCTGGCGCAAGTTATGCTCGCTGCAAATTATGGTGTCGTCACTTGATTCGGCAGTCTGGCTGGTGTGTTTCGCCTCATGTTCATACAACACATGCATGCATGCCTTTGTCATTCATCTCTACTAGTTCCTTGTGCACACAAACAAGCAAACACACACACTCTCTCTAAACTCAGCATGCAGGACGAAGAAAGAGAAACAGAGACAACACACGGAGAGGAAGCTGGAACAGCGCAGAATGGCAGATAACAGCAGGCACAAATGAAACAGAACATGCACAGCCAAGGAATAGTGCCAAGCAGGGAGGGCCGGTCTGCCGGCGTGGATGGCAGCGGGCGCTCCGAGAAGCTGCTGGACATGGAGTTGCCCCCAGACCCAGTGCCGGCGAGCCAGTGCTTTCACAGGAAACGGTATGTGTGTTGTGTGTGTGTGTGTGTGTGTGTGTGTGTGTGTGTGTGTGTGTGTGTGTGTGTGTGTGTGTGTGTGTGTGTGTGTGTGTGTGTGTGAGTTTTGCGAAGATGATGGCAGGCAGGACGGGATGGAAGCATGGTAAAACGGCGCTGCCGTGGTACAACGAAGCACAGAAACCAGAGAGACACACAACACACGCACACACGCACACACACACACACACACACAAGCAGGCCTTACGCTTGAGCGTGGGGACGCGTGCTGGCGCCTCTGGCGGGGCGCTGCGCTCGTCACGCAAAGCGTTGAGCTGTTTGCGCATGGCACTCTCCCACTGGCGCTTGAGGGGCATGGTCTTGGCGGCGAAGATGTACTGGTGCTCCGCGCTGCCCTTGCGGAACTTGATGGCCCACAGGTACGAGTGCTTGGAGTTTTGTTCCTCCTTTGGCAGCGTCCAGTGCGGCACATCCACAATCTCTTGGTCGTCACCAAAGTCAATCGACACCTTGTGGGTGAACTGGGACCCGCGCGTCTTGCACACAAGCACGCCGTTTGCAAACAAGAACACGTAGCTGTCACGCAAACATCAATAAGCGGTGGGAGCGAAAAGCAAGGGAAAGAGAACAGGCGGAGAAGAGGTTTTGTGTGTGTGCGTTTGGAATATCATGAAAGGGAGATGGGTGTGAATGGGAGACAGCCGTGAGCAACTGCGCGAAACGGGAATGCTCAAGCAGCAGATTACTGCACACACACACACACACACACACACAAACACGCACGCACGCACGCACCGGAGCTTCATCTTGTCCTTGCCGAGAGTTGACTTGAACATGAGGTCGCCGTCCTTGATCAGCGACCCGTACTCCTGGATCGGCCGCCCAGAGTAGTGCCGCAGACTCTGTGCAGCCACGCGCACACATACAAACATATGATATGTGTGAGCTGGAGGGTAAAGAGGACAGGCTATGTTTGAGGCAGGATGGCGACGCACCAGGCGGACAAAAAGGAAACAAACTTGAACACATTCACGCACACACGCACACGCACAAGAGGGGTACGCACCGATGTGACTTGTTTGAGGTTGTCGTACTGCTGTTTTGTGTCGTTGATGTACTTTGCGAGCTCCTCCACCTGGCGCAGTGCGTCCTGCAGCCGCGCCTTGTCCGGGTGGCTGTCCGGCGTGTGCTTGATCAGCTCCTGCAATTTTGAGCGCGTCAGTGTGAGTGAGTGCGTGAGTGTGTGTGTGCGGGTGCGCACGCAATTGTTGGCATGTTGTGGGCCATGTGAGCGGAGGAAGAGCACTGATGGCGCCGTGGACACGGGGTGTCGCACATCGACACCCAATCGACGGACGAGGCAAGCGCGCTGCGGACCTTGATGAGGAGCGGGTACTTGAGGATGCGTTGCATGGGCACGTTGAGAAGATCCTTGAGCCCAAACCGCTGCCGACTCTGCCGCTTCGCCTCGGCTATCAACTGCACAACGCAAAGAGAGACACCAAGCGGAGGGAGGTGAGGCAGACAGACGACAAGAGCCATACAAGAAAAGAAGAAACGGTCGCTGTGGCGCAGAGTTGAGGCGAAGAAACAAAACCTCAACGCTAAAGCGAGCGGTAAGCACATGCACGGGGCGCACCACACCTCCCTCCCGCTCCCTTGATTCACAGCACCACATCAAGCACGGCTACACGACCGCGTTCGAGACAGCAGCACGGCATGGAGCACCTTTGTGGCGGCCTGTTTGTTCTCGAGGTCTGCGAGCTTTGCGACGGCCTCTGGGATCTGGCAGCAGAATGAGCCATAGCAGCGCAGGCGCGGCATCTGTCGGGAATGTGCAAGGCGGGGACAATAATGGTGGCGGCGGCGGCGGTGGTGGTGAGGTTGGAACACGAGTGACGATGGGCCAGATGTGTGAGATTGGCAGCGAAAACACTCCGCCGTGCAGTTGAGAGGAAACCAAAAACCCAGGTGCGATTACCACCACCACTACAACAACTACAACCACAACCACAACCACAACAACCACAACAACAACAACAACAACAACAACAACAACAACAACAACAACAACAACAACAACAACCACAACAACAACAACAACAACAACAACAACAACACCACCACCACTACCACCACCACCACCAGGAGGCACTGACGTGCTCGAGGAAGACGGAGCTGACGATGCGACCGGTGGACTTCTGCATGAGGGCGTTGAGGTCGGCGAGGAGCGCATTGTGCGCATCAAGAAGCTCGTGCACATTACCGAAGATGGTGTTGATGTCCACGCGCGAAATGATCTGCGCAGCACGCGCCGTAGGGAGGGAGGGTGAGGGAGGAAGACAAAGCAAGGACGCAGGAGCCAACGGGACAGCCATGCCATGAGCGGCAGGCAGGTCAGCAGCTTATGGTCAAGAGGAAGGAAGGAAATGTCAATTGGAGAGTAGACAGCGAGGCACGGCGCGGTGGTTTGGGAACACACCTTTGGCTGCTTTGACATGACGGGCTTGAACGTGTTTGCAATGGTGTTGAGGACGCCAACGTAGTTGCGCTCCGTCTCGTGCAATTCCGCCATCTGAACACCAGTGCATGATGGAAGCATGGGGCCCGGTGAATGGTGGATATGCAACATGTGCGTGGGATGGCGGGGGCCGGGTAACGTGTGGCGCGTAGAGCAGGACAACAACAACAACAACAACAACAACAACAACAACAACAACAACAACAACAACAACAACAACAACAATCCAAGCCAGTCGCATGCTTCCCAAATGACATGCAGATACGTACCACCATGCTTCGTTTGTCATCTGGGGAGGTGCCGCTGACGCTGTAGATGTTGTCCTCGTCCGAGTACATGAGGTCCTTGTAGATCTCCTCGCTCTCCGGCTGAAACACCAGCCAGGAAGGCAGTGTAAGCAAAACGGGTCAGGGCGCACAGAGATGGAAACGCAATCTGGCGACGAGCTCTTCAAAGCAGAAAACAAACAGCACGGCATAAACCACCCACACACCCACACCCACACCCACACCCACCCACACCCACACACACACACATAACACAGACATGCACCCACATGCCCACACACACCCAAACACACACCCAAACACACACACCCATACACACACACGCGCGCGCGCAGAGCAGGTGCTCACCGCGATGGCCTGCTTGAGGGCGCCGTAAATCTCCTCGGCGTCGTCGTCGCCGCTGTACACGCTGCCACCGCTCTTCGCCGCGTCCTTGAGGCTCAGCGACTGCCCAACAAGCTCCTCCAGGCTCTGGTACATGTCCTGGCCGTCCTCCTGCGCCGTGTTTGCCGCGTGGCCCGTGTCGTCCGGGAAGTGGCGGAAGCCCGCCATGCCCGCAGGCGGCGTCTTGGACAGCAGGCTCAGCGTCTCAACAACCTGGGAACAAGAATAATAATAAGAAGAAGATGAAGGGGGAGGGTGTATGGGGGTTACGACAGAGGGCATGAAGCGGGGTACGCAAACAAGAAGACGTGAGGAGTTGCTTCTGAGGCCAACACGAGGTGACACTTGGATCAACACGCTCACACACAGGTCTTCAGGCGAACCAACAACCAAGAAAATAACCATGAAAACGCCCAAACAAACAACTAACAACCACAGAAGCAAGCAAGCAAGCAAGCAACACGCATAGCGACACCTTTGCAAAGTTTGAAGCGTAGTAGAGCTCGTCTGCAGTGAACAGGTCGGTCTTCTTCATGCGAAACTTGTCCTGGCATGCCTCGAGAAAGCGGTTGATGTTCTGCATCTTCATAAACTGCTTCTCCGGCCGCTCTGCAAAGCTGGTGATGCAGCCAGGCATCAGTCTGTTCGCGCACTTGCACAACACCGTGCCGTCCTGGGGTTGGTTGGTTGTGCGTGAACGTGTGTGTGTGTGTGTGTCGTGTGTGTGTATCGTGTGTATCGTGTGGTTTGTGAGAGTGCAAGTCAATGTGAGACTGAGGAAATGTGGAATCGTTGCTGCGTCTCAGCAATGGCGACAGAAAAGGCACGCACATTGAACTTGAATACTCAAACACCCCCCCCCCACACACTCTCACTCTCTCTCTCGTATCACACCCACCCACGCACATACTCACACACACATATTCGCCAACACACTCTCAAACACCCACACACACACACCCACACACACACACCCACACACACACACACACATACACGTGTAAACGGACCTGGAGCGCCATTGCCAGCTCGTACACGCGGCCATCCGGCTGCAAACTGGGATCGTCCGCAGGCAGGACGCCCACGGTGTTGAGCCATCTTGCGGCGAGCTGCCACAGTTCACTCATGCTGGTGGTGCTTGCGCGTCGTCACGTCCACGCACTCCTCGTTCTTGGGTGGTTGTTGTGCGTGCGTGCTCACTCCCTCAATCACCCCGGTACGTACTGCCTCACTCGCTCACACACCCTCTTCCCTTCCGCAAGTCGCAGGGAACGTATGCGGATATGGGCGTGGCACTGGCTGGCAAAACCCCGTTTGCTGCCGCAGTTAGTCTAAGCAGGCTGGGTACCTCCTAGTTCTGTGTCCCTCTACTCCTCTCTCTGTGCAGGCACTGTTCAGGGAACAAACGATCATGTCGCACAAAAGGAGCAGGGAAGAGAGGCGTGGGAGCGAAACGATGAGTTCAGCAACAGCGAAAGCGAACCAGCAACCTCCACAAAACAACAAACACGCCTCTTTCCACTCAAGGCGCAAGCAATTTCGATCAATGGAGCCATGACGCCCCGCACAAAAAGCATTGCACCTCCCCCTCCTCTAAACAAGGTGTCTTCTGTCCTTTCTCTGTTCCATCGCCCACTCCTCCAAGCACGCTTGCTTGTCTTCCCGCACGCACCCTCCCACCGCACCCTCCCACCAGCCGCTGTCACAGGAGCGAGACCTACCCAGCCAGCGTTGTTGGTTTGTTGTTGTTGTGTGTGTTTGTCTGTCTCTGCTGCTCGCCCACCTCAAAAAGAAGAAAAAAAGAAATTGTTCGGGCAATGCCGCAGATAATTCATCGACATTTTTAGTCAATCGTCAAACAGACACATGGGCCCGTTCCACTCAACTCAGTTTTCCCAAAGGCAACCAAAGCATCTTCTGTGTTTGTGTTGTTTGTTGTGTGGTTGTTGTTGTGTGAGTGCAGGTTTTTTCGGTCGTGTGCCTGTGAAGATCCCTCCTTGGATGATGGTCCCTCCTTGGGTGCTGCTGGTCACTCCTTGGATGGCTTTGGCTGTTGTGGCTGCTGTGGCTGCTGGTGCTGTGACGAGGGTGGAGGTGGGTGGCGCACATGGGAGTGATGTGCGTGCGGCGGGTGGCGCATGCGCGGGCGCATCCCACGCATGCGGCCGTAGCTACTGCCATACAACCCCTTTGGTGGCACGGGCCCGCGCGGCGGCTGGTGCGGCTGGTGCGGCTGGTGCGGCTGGTGCGGCGGTGCATGCATGCGCGCCATGGGCCGCTGGTGGTGGTACATGGGCGCCTGCGGCACGGAGAAGCTGCTGGCCGGCGTCAGCGAGGTTGGCGTGGTTGGAGGCGTCTGGCTCGCGTGGACCTGCACATGTGCGTGCGGCCGCAGCTGCGCACCTGGATGCATCTGTTGGGCGTGGTGGGCCATCATGGGCTGAGGCGGCGGTGGAGCCTGCTGCGTGTACACGGCGTAGGTGGGCGCTGTCGGCGCTGATGGCTGGTACGTCGTTTGGGGCGCGTAAAACACGTGTGTGGGCGCCCCCGCTTGCATGTGCGCAGAATACTGCGGCTGCATCTGCACTGCTCCAGCGTGGCCCACATGCTGGGGAACCATCGTCATGCCAGAGTGCATCACATGCTGCCCTTGCTGGTGTGCTACGCGCATCGGAACCTGGTGCAGCATGCCAGGCTGTGACTGCTGCTGCTGCTGTGGCTGCTGCTGCTGCTGCTGAGGCTGTTGTTGTACAAACTGGTGGGCAGGCATTGCTTGCGTGTACATCATAGTAGGCTGCTGATACTGTTGCTGGTATTGTTGTTGTTGCTGCTGCTGCTGCTGATGCGCAAGTTGCTGGCCCGGGGCCATGTGTGGCTGCCCTTGCATGATATGCTGCGGCAGCTGCAGCTGTGGTTGTTGCTGCTGCTGAAGGTATGACACAGTTGGGGCTTGGCTCGAAGCCGCGGGCTGATGCTCCATGGTGAGGTCAAATGCAGTCGGCGTGCTCACGGCCTGCGACGTGACCACACCGGCACCCATCGCGTAAACTTGCTGCTGCTGCTGAGGCTGAGGCCGCTGCTGTTGCTCTGTGGCCGTGCCGTGCGTCTGCGCCTGAGCGCGTTCCTCTGTTCCCTGCTGCTTCGCTTGCGGCACAGGCACAGGTACATGCCCAACAGCCATGGCACCTTGACCCTGCGGCATCTGCTGTTGCTGTTGTGGCGGGCTTGGGGTGGTGGCAGCGGCGGCGGTGACAGCTGGCGGGGTGGGTGCCGACGACGAGCTTGGCGTAAATTCGGGGGCGTTGTAGTTGAGCTGAGGCTCACCATCACGCGTGTGAAGCATGCTGGTGGTCGTTGTTGCTCCGCCTGGTGTTGTTGTTCTCGTTGTTGTTGCTGTTGCCGTTGCTGGTGCTGCAGCGGTGGCGGCAGCAGCTGATGACGAGGATGACACGCCATGCGGGGAGAGATGCTCGCTGCGCTCTGCCTCGGAGGCAGGATGTGGCGCCGCAAGCTGCTTGACCATCGACGCCGCGCTGGCAGGGCTCACGGCCATGGGCACCTGCGGCTGTGACGGCGGCGTCTTGGGCGAATCAACAGCAGCGGATGACGCATCCACCACATCCGTTGTTGTAACGGAGGTGGTTGGCAGCCCCGGTTCAACTGCCGTCACTGACGCCGTTGCCTTTGTTGTTGCTGCTGATGTGGCGCTGTTCTTGTCCGCCACTTCACTGGTGGCGGCGGGAGTGGCTTGCTTGCTCTCCCCCTCGTGCGGCTTCGTTGCTCCAGCCTTGCCTTCGCGGTTGCGCTGCTGCTGGTGGTGGTGGTGGTGGTGGTGGTGGTCCTCATCCTGTAACTTTTCCTTCTGCTGCTCTCCAGAAGCGTGGGCCGCAGCTTGCGTGGCGGCTTGCTTGGCGGCTTGGGCAGCTTGGGCAGCGGCGGCTTGCTTCTCCTTGGCCGCCGCCTCTTCCTTCTGCTGCTGCTTGTACTGCCCAATAACCCTGTCAAGCGCATTTTGTTTGCGGGATTGAAGCTCCTCCTGCTCCTCCTTGTGGCGCTGCGCCTCGAGCTCCTTCTTCTCCTTCTTCCACCGCCGCATCACCGCCTTGCGCTGCTCGGCCTCCTCTCGCCGCTGCTGCGCCGCAAGCTCAGCCTGCTCCTGCCGAACCCGCTCAGCTTCCCGCTCAGCCTGGTTGCGTGTTTGTGTGTGCGTGTGTGTGTGCGTGTGTGTGTTTTGAATCGGTGAGCAAAGACGAGACAAAACTCAGGCAACAACCGCATGTTAGTGCGTGTACACGCGCACACATGATATGGACATACGCACCTCTTCCAGCATGCGTTGTTCCTCTGCTTCCTTCTGGCGTTTCCGCTCCCGCAACTGCTTGTTGCGTGGCTTGGCGGTGACAAAGCCGTCATCGCCCCCAGAGGCCTCAGCGTCGTACTCAAACGCGTACGTGTCCGTGTGCACGCGCGGTTCTGCTGCAACCGCGACATGGTCTGTTGTGCACGTGATTGTGAACACGCCACCGATCCATCATCGCCATCATCATCATCTCAGCGTGTGAGCCGTAAGTGTGCAACAAAGAGCGCATGCAGCGCAGACGGGAAGATACACACAGGATAGAAGATGGCGCACTGCAGACAAGTGATCCACCACACCACAAGTGCACACGTTCACACGTGTACACACACACAAGCACACATACACACGTGTACACACACACACACACACACACACACACACACACACACACACACACACACACGTGCACAAACACACACACACACACGTGCACACACAGAGGAGAGCGCAACAAACCTGGGACAACGTTGGGCTGCTTGGCGGCCTTGGTCGGGGAGCGAGCAGGCACACGGGCATCATCATCAGCCATGGTGAGGGCGTGGAATGCATTTGTGGGGCCTTGACTTGTCTTGGCTGCAGCTGCATCAGCTGCGTCACTGCCTTCAGCACCGCCGTGCTTCTGCGCCGCTGCAGCCCGCACCTTGTCATCGCGCGTAGTGGCCGGAACCGAAGCAGCCGTGGCCGGTGCTGGTCGTGAGGTCAGCGTTGGTGCAGAGGTGGGTGCGCGAACCGCTCCAGCAGGTGCTGCACTCGTCGCTGCTGCTGTTGTCGAGGCTTGGCCCTTTGTGGTTGTCGTGGCCGCAGAGGCTGTTGTTGGCGCACTTGCCTTTGCCTTCCCTTTTGCCTTGGCAGGTGCAGTTGTTGCCGCGGGTGCCGTCGACGATGTTGCTGCAGCACGCTGGCTGTACGCCACACCGGCCGTGGCCATCGAACTGCCTCTCTGCTGCTGGTGCTGGTGCTGCTGTTGCTGGCACTTCTCCTTCCTACGCTGTGCAGCGGCTGCGCGGCCCTGCTCCGTGTCCTCGTATGCGCGGGACGTGGGCATCCCCATCCTGCGCTGCACCGCCGAAATGGACACGGGCAGCCCATGCAGCGCCTTGTTCGCCTGCCGCCGCTGCGCCACGGCCTCTTTCACTGCTGCTGCGTCCCCATACTCCTCAGGGTCGTCCTCGGCCTCCTCTTGTGGTGTCGGGTGCCGCATGCGCGTGGAGAACAGCTTGCCGTCGAGCACAAACTGGCACTTGGTAGCTGTCGCCAGTGCGCCCAGCGGGTCAATGCTCATCTCCGTCTGCGTTGTATTTTGCGGCAGCTTCACGGTGGGCTGCCGTTTGGCCTGCTGCTTCTGCTGCTTCTGCTGCAGCTTGGCCTGTACCTGCTCGTGGGTGTCTCGCCCGGCATAGCGGCCCATGCCGCGGGCCTCCGGGGCGTGGCGGGCCTGGTGGAACGCAGTGCGCGCAGCCTGCACCGCCTTCTCGTCCCCCTGACGACGCGAAGATCCTGGCTGCTCTTGTTGCTGGTGCTGCTGTTGATCGGTGGCTTGGTCATAGGGGCGGGGAAGAAGCTGCACTTGATGCTGCTGGCGCGCGCGGGGCCCATGACCCCCATCTCGCTGCACGCTGTCGGGGAACTGGATCTCAAACCCAAGCTTCTCAATGCGCCGGCGCTGCGGCTGCTGTTGCTGTGGCTGTTGTTGGGCCTGCGGCTGGGTTCCGAAGTTTTGCTGTTGTTGTTGTTGTTGCTGCTGCTGTTGTTGTTGTTGTTGCTGCTGCTGCTGCTGCTGCTGCTGGCGGTGGTGCGGCTGACTACGTGGCTGCTGCTTCGCTTCGCGGTGCTCTGGTGCTGTCTCGCGCCCCTGGTTCACAGATGTAGCAGGGATAGCGGTGGTGGCAGATCCTTGAGCCTGTTCGGCGCTGGGCTGCGCCTCGGTGGTGCTTGCAGGCTCCTTCTTGAAATCGTCATGTGCATGGGTCGAGAGGGGAGAAAGGGGATAGTGAACCAGAGTGGGTCAGAGTGTCAAGTTACTGACACGAGCACCAGCACCAGCACGAGTATCTACACTTGTGACATGCAACACACACACACACACACACACACACACACACACACACAAAACTCCACCTGCTCATCGTGGATGCTGGGGCAGCACCGCAGATCGGGGAATCGCTCGAAGAAGCTGGCCAGCTCCTCTGGAGCCATGGGGGTTGTTGGTCTCCAGTTGCCAAAGTTTCGGCGCAGAAGCACTTGCAGCATGCTTTGGTGCCTGTTGCACGGTGTTGTCGAATTCAAGGAAGCAAGTATGCATGCATTGTAAGCACAGGTCACCAAACACATTCTGAACAGCACACAGGACCACTTGCATGGTTGTTTGTTTGGTTGTTTGTTGTTGGTTTGTTGTTGTTTAAGTTGTTTAAGTTGTTTAAGTTGTTTAAGTTGTTGTTGTTGTTGTTGCTGTTGTAGTAGTAGTAGTTGTTGTTGGTGTCGATGATAAAGTTTGTTGTCAAGCACGTACTCGTTTGCAGAGGGCTTCAGAATACGGGCTGGAAGCGGTTGTAGCGTGTGCGGACAGAAGAACGCGGTGTGCCAAAACGCAGATACAGATAGCCGCATGTGTTGTGAGTCTCAGGCAAGAGGCCAGCATGCAGGTCGCACAAAAAGCAAGGATGCCGTGCACAATGCGCTCTCAAAAGCACACACATACACACACACACACACCAGTTGCCGGCGATGAGGGTTGATCCCGCCAGTTGCGGGTCATGTTGCCTGTCGTCCCCGCACAGTATCCAGCATGTCAGCAATGCCGCGAAGACATGTGAACTGGTTGGACACATACATACATAACACGCACAACTTTCACTCCATCGCAAGATGGCGCAAACATGGTAAACACAGGCTATTCGACCAAAGCATGCCAGCCTCTCCTTGCCGCTCTTGTCGTGTGTCGCCAACACAACAAGACCCCATTGAACGTACGCTGTCGAGAGCTCATGGCTACTGCTGGTTGTTGGTTTGGTGGTTTGCTTGGTCGGTCGGTTCTCTGTCTTTCTTCTTCAAGGACGTTAACGAAAATTGTCGTACATTTTCAATCACATTTCTACAACCACTGGTTTTGATTGCGCGGGCTTTCTCTTGTGCGTTCATTTGTGCGCCTGTGCGTGTGTGCATGTGCATGTGTGTGTGCATGTGTGTTTGTGCGTGTGTGTGTGTGTGTGTCATGCGTTGTTCCTTCTGCACTTTCCTTCCTGCACATTACATCAAGTCACACCACGTAACGTTGTTCTGCACCATCAACTCTTGTCAGGACGCTTCAATCTCATCAATCAGGCACGCAGGGAATCAAAGAGGGAAAGGGCAAGGGAAGAGAGAGAGGAGAAAACAATGACGACGACGATGACGACAACAACAAGAGGGACAGGGGGGGATCGGTCAATTCAAAAACAACAAAATGGGGCGCACAGAGCAAACAGGGAAAGCAGCAGCAGCAGCAGCAGCAGCAGCAGCACAAGAAGAAGTGGAAGAGGACGGACAACAAGGTAGGCACGGGCGTCGGTTGAGAGCTCGTAAAGACGGCGCAGCACACAACACAGACACACACACACAGACACACAGACACACAGACACACAGACACACAGACACACACACACACACACACAAGAGGGCACACGTGTACACGACACGCGACAAGCCCAAGGCGTCTTAGGCATCAGCAGAAGTGTCCATGCTCGCCTCAGTTTGTGGTGCAGCCGTGACATCAGTGGTGACAGGCGCGGGCGCGGTCGTGGCGGGCGCGGGTGCAGCTGGAGCGGTGGTTGTTGTGGCAGGTGGTGCAACAGAGGGGGTCATAGTGGTGGTGGTGGTAGTAGTGGTAGTAGCGGCGGGGGCAGGTGTGGAGGACGTGGCGGTAGTCGTTTCCGCTGCATTGTCAGTCTTTGGTGGCGCCGTCGCTGGCGCCGTGGTAGTGGCCGTGGTGGCATCTGTAGGTGCAGTGGCAGCCTCGCTTGCGCCTTCTTGTTGGTGAGCGGCGTCGCCAGCGTTGGAGGCCTCCGACACCGCCGTGGCCACCTCTGCCTGCTCCGATGGTTGGTGCTGTGGCTGTGCTTGCTGTGGCTCCTGTTGCTGGTGCACTTCGGCATTACCAGCGGGTGTGGTCTCAGCCTCTGGTGCTGTGGCCGGTGCGTCTGGCTGCTTGCTGGTGGCGGCATCATCGCCTCCCATCTCCATGCTCGCAGGCTGCGTCTGCTCTGCCGATGCTGCCGTGTCAGCGGTGGTAGCCGCTGTCGTCGCGCTATCAGCAGCAGGCTGCTCCTGCGTCGTTTCTTCCTGGTCGGCGGCGGCGGCGGCGTGCCCAGCCGCCTTGTCCTCCTGCTCCTCCTTCGGCTGGTGCTCTGCCTCTTCCTGCTTCTTCTCAGCGGCATCGTCTACATCCATCGCCTGTGTGTGGGTGTGTTGTGTGGGAACAAGTGTGGTGATAGGGGGTGATGAGGAAGAACAGCACCAACGCGTGTTTGACAGTACTCATAAAACACCGACGTACCACGTGAACATGTTCATCACTGTATGCACCAAGACAACCAACCAACCAACCAACCAACCAACCCAACCAACCAACCAACCAACCAACCAAACAACCAAACAACCAAACAAGCAAGCAACGTCCAACGCGCGTGGCACAGGAACCGTGTGAGCAGCGTGCGCAAACCTTGTCATCGTCGGGGCCGGGTGCCGTTGAAGTTTCAGAGAAAGTGAGGACTACGAAGTGGTCGGATGGTCTTCCGTCACCCACGTCGCCCAAGGTGCCAAGTTTACGCGTGTAAGTCAAGCATTGGCTTGTGCGCGAATGTGCTGTGTATGTGTGTGTGTGTGTGTGTGTGTGTGTGTGTGTGTGTGTGTGTGTGTGTGTGTGTGTGTGCAAAATGTACGTGAGGATGGCCGGGGGGGGTATACACAGAGCACGAAACAGAAGGGACAACAATACATCGAGGTGCTGAGGCAAAACACACAAACACGCACATGCACACACACGAGAACACACACACACACACATGCACGCACGCACACACATGGTGGGCGTACCCTGCCGTAGTTGTGTTGGTGCTTCGCCTTGCCCTCGCCGTCCGAGGCAGACAAGTCTGCGTCGTGCTCGACATGGCGGTCGTTCTCGTACTGCGTCCGCTTGTCCGGATCCTGCGCATCAGCGTCGCCCTCGTCCTCAACGCGCGTAATGTCAAGCAGCGCTACAACGTCGTGCGGACGTTTGTGGTTGCGGTTGCGTTTGCGTGTGTGTAATTGTGAGCCGTGTCGTGGGAGACAGTGGTGGGGGCACAAGTGCACAAACACACACATGTAGCACAGCACGCTCGCAGGCATACCGCGAGATTGGACGCCTGGGGTGGCCTGCGAGCTCTTGAGGTTGCTCATGATGGTGCCAATAATCTGATCAATGTCCTGCTTCGAGTTGAAGTTCTCTGCATTACCCGGTCTGCGTGTCGAGTGGCAAAACAGCATAAGAGCACAACAACGTGGTGGTACTGATACAGGAGTGTACACAGCGAAAGGTGACACTCGACACGTTCTCGATTTCCAAACACCCCCACCCCCACCCCCACACCCCACACACGGCAAGGTTGCAGCTCGTTCGCCCTCGACTTTCCCTCTCACTTCCGCGTTTTCGTGCGTACGTGATGTGAAGGCGGAAGTCTGGGCCAAAGTACTCGTAGTAGTCATTGAAAGGCAGCTCGTCGGAGATCTCGGTGCCCAGGGCAACGGACGTCTCGTATGTCCAGCAGCGGGCCACGTTGCGGATGGTGTATCCACCGCCACCAAGCAGCAGCAGCGGCTTGTTGTACGACTTCATGTGTTCCACGCACTTGGCATGGCCTAGGTTGCGGGGGCGAGGGTAGTTGTAGTGGTGGGTTGATGACGCAGGCGACACGTATGAGTGTTGTTGCAGTTTCAGACGGACACACACACACACACACACACACACACCCATGACGCACTCGTCCATGCCAAGACCCCCCCCTCCTCTTCGTGTGTCTCACCCTTGAGGGAGAGGTTGAAGCAGCCAAGACGGTCGCCGGCGAGCGAGTCAGCGCCGCACTGCAGCACAACAGCGCCCGGGTCGTAAAACTGCATGATGTGGTCCATGACGGGCTTGAAGATGAGCTCGTAGCACTCATCGTTCATGCCGTCCTTCAGCGGGACATTCACCGCATAGTTCTTGCCCTCGCCGTGGCCAATATCCTGCGCAATGCCAGCAGTGGGAGCAGTAGCACATGGTGTCAATGTGGTATTAGGGGCAGGCGGTGAGGGCACGCAGGTGACAGGAGGAGGAGGAGGAGGAGGAGGAGGAGGAGGAGGAGGAGGAGGAGGAGGAGGAGGAGGATAAATGTCTCGCACAGGCTTAGAGGACACGTGTATGCACGTGTATGCACGCGCAAAAACACGTGCAGTGGGCAAGGCAAGGCAAAAAAGCACGAAGTGTCACGACAGTCCAGCACACATTTGGAATTGGGAGGACTCACGCCAATGTCGCCTGTGCCCGGAAAGTATTCGCCAAACTTGTGGAAGGAGACGGTCATGACGCGGTTTGTGCAGTAAAACGCCTCCTCTACGCCGTCACCGTGGTGGATGTCAATGTCCACATACAGCACGCGCTGGTGCCGCCTGTACACGAAAACACACACACACACACACACACACGCACACGCACACATGAGCAGATGCAGGGCGTACGTCAATGAGCACACAGCTGGAGCATACGTCGTTGAGCGTGGGCGTGTGAATGCGTGTACGTGCGTGTGTGCTGCAAAACATGTGCGCGTGTGAACGCGGTGGTGCTCGAGTGAGTGGCGTGGAGTCAACTGACTTGAGGAGCTCGAGGATGCCGAGGACAATGTCGTTGACGTAGCAGAAGCCTGATGCCTCGCTCTTCTTGGCGTGGTGCAGGCCGCCAGCCCAGTTGATGGCAATGTCGCACTGCTTGCTGTTGAGCTTCGCAGCGCCAGCTGAACCGATACAAGCGCGCATGCGGGCATGAACCTTTGGCGGTGAGCGCGTGTCAGCACGTGTGCTTCGTGGTGTCTTGTGTGATGGTTACCACGTAGTTGTCCATTCTCCGTGCACAGAGAAAGTGACACAACATAGGAACACAGGAGGGAGAGGGAAGAACGAAAAACATGTATGGTGGGTGCAAGTGGCCTGGGCTGTGATGAACAACAACAACAACAACAACAGCAACAACAACAACAACAACAACAACAGCAACAACAACAACAACAACAACAAAAAAAAAAAAACCCTCGCAGCTGGAAAGCAGCTGCAGATGCACAGCATGGCAACACACCGAGAGAGCCGCCGGCAGAGAGCTGGCAAAACTCGTAGAGGCCATCAAAGACGGGGCAGTCGTCGCCGACGTTGACTGCATTGTATGGGGAGATGTGGCGCAATCACAAGCATTCGCAAGAGCACGCAAGGGCGAGTGTGAGTGCGGTTGATGTGGGATACGACGTATGTGTCAAATGAGGAGTCAAATGATGAGTCGACACACAGCGGGTGATAAAGTCAGTTGGGTGCGCGCAAAGGCACTTACGCACAGGCACGGACACACAGACACACAGATAACACACACACACATGTACACACACAGATGAACACAGATAACACGCACACACGCACGCACACACGCACGCACACACACACACACAGAGATACACAGACAAACACGAACACGAACACAGAAGCGCATGTGCTCACTTACAGCGCGCCGAGTCTGGTGGGGAGGCCTCCAGCTTGTCTGGGTCCATGTCGCGGATGAACGACACGTACTCGTCAGAGTGGTACTTGGTCATGTCCTCAAAGGTGGCGCGGTGTGGGCGCTGTCGATCAACGGCAATGACACAGGCCACAACAGCTCAATCATGAGGTCACAGGCGACAGAGAGCAGAGAAAGGGGAACACAGCAACGAGGAGTTCAACGAACCAACCAACACCAGAACAAAGAGCCTGCACGTGCGACATGTTGTCGACACAGGTGCTGCGAGTGCAGCAGTGCGACAGCGTGGCAGCCCAACAACGAACAGACAGACGACACCAAACGTACGTAGACTTCCATCTTCTTGTACAGGCCATAGTTGAGGATGAGGTTGTGCGCCATGCGAATGCGGTGCGGCTTCATGGGATGGCTTCAAGGTGCAGAGCAACATCACAAAGAAAAGACAGCAGCACAGATGGGACGAATGTGAGCGAGTAAGAAAACAAAAAGGTGAACAATGGCAACTTGACCATACATGGCGACAAGGCCAACAAAGGGGTAAGTGCGAACGGCAGGCACGCCAGTACACCGCTTTCACGCATCAGTGTGCCCATCTTGAACCGCAAAACTTACCCTGGGCCATAGTAGTAGTTGCCGACATCGACTGCAGAGGTTAACACGGATCAAGGAAGGAAACAACAGAAGGAAGGCGTCATGTCAACGTTGCGTGAGATGCATGAGCACAAGGAGAAAGAAGAAGGCAAATAACGGGGGAGGGATTGATGGGTGGGGGTAGGGTGGAACATGTTGGCCAGGAGAGAGAGCAAATGAGCTTGCGCAGGGGTGACAGGGCGTGCATGTGTTCATGATCATGCACAAGCAAGAATGATACTTGTAGGTGACAGGTGCAGACGCATGCACAGGAGCTCACACAGATACAGGCAAAACCAGCACAGGAAACACACAATCACAGGAAACACAATCACAGGCACACACAACGTACAGTCGTAGTAGTAGGCGACACGTGTGCGCCTGGAAGCCATTGTTGATGTGTGTGAACCCAAAGAGGAGGAGGTGAGCCGAGCTGGTGCGAGCGAGGAAGGGAAGAAACGCTTGCTTGCCCGTTGCACTGTCGTGTGTGTTGAGAATGTTCGCGCGCCTCGCTCCACTGCACTGCGCTGGCTGGAAAATTTGACCATATGTTCACTTGATAATCGCCCTTGTCCTAAAAAGATGATAAGCGCCTACAAATAGGATGATATTCAATAACAACCACAACAGCAACGACAAACAACACCAACAGCAAAACGAGCTGTGTGCCATGGCACTGCAGCAAGACTGAGAAGGAGCAAGGACATACACACGCACACACGCACACACGCACGCAGGCACACAGGCACGCACACACACACACACGCGTACCGCACACGCGTACCGCACACGCGTACCGCACACACGCACAGGCATACACACATACACACGCACACACATACACACATACACACGCACATACACACAATGGAGTTGGATGTGGCACAGCGAAAGGCGCTGGGGGAAGGCGAGGTGGTGTGCTTAACGGCCAAGGACTTGGAGAACAAGCAGCCGCACAAGCGAATCACGTCCGCCCAAGCACAAACGTGAGTCTAGCGGGTCAGCAAATGTATTTTTTTTTTTGGGTTGGAACAGCGTTGGTGTGCACAGGCGCAACAAACCAGGTTGTGGAAAGCAAACGAAGCGACTCGACTCACGTTTGTGTGCATGTGCTGACCGCGTTCACTCCGTGCGCCTTTCTGTTGTGTCATTTCTCAGGCGGGCGCGTGTGATTGCCAGCGTTGTGGACACCATAGGCGAAGCTTCATCTCGAGTGCGTTGGCATATATCCGTTTGCTTGAGCGTGTGTGTGTGTGTGTGTGTGTGTGTGTGTGTGTGTGTGTGTGTGTGTGTGTGTGTGTGTGTGTGCACAAAACATGGTTGGCCAGAGCCTACATAGTACTGTTCGTTAGCGACAACGGCCATGCGTTTGCCTTGTCACTGCCATGCCACTCGCTGCTATGGCGTATCGATATGCGACTATGTATATGTGTACAGCTGTCATGTACACGAAGAGTCTAACCAGGGCAGGATAAAAGCAAGTAACGCGAGACAGCAAGCAAGACAGCAAGTCCAGCTCATCAGCAAGCAAGGAGATGTAACATAACGACATCATGGATGCTGCCAGCTTGTCCTTGTCATCACGTGTCACTTGCTGCTTCACACCCCCTCTTCGAGTATCAGGGCTACTGTCGTCAGCCCCGGAACTCAAACGCGGCAGCCACCACAGGCGCCTCGTTCAGCACAGTATGGCCCCAAGGACGCCGGGCACAAACAGCGCGTCCCCTTCCTTTTGCTCGCACGTCTTCATAACTTGCCTGC